AATGAAAAAGGGATAGTGTTGTGGTATAATCGAGTAAGCTGCAGCTTAACCCAGCATTCCTTCTAGGAGCACTGGTTTGAATCACTGGCTGCTCCACTTTGATCCAGCACCCTGGCTAACGCACCTGGGAAAGCAATGCTGAAGATGGACCAAGTGCTGAGGTCCCTGCTATCCCTGTGGGAGACCTGCTTCCTGGCCTAGGCCTGGTCCACTCCTGGCTATTCTAGTTTTTTCAGAGAGAACCAGGAGAGAAAAATCCTGTCTCCTTCTCTGCCTTTCAAACATATAATTTTTTTTTTTAACTTAAAAAAAATCCTCTTGCATGTCATCTGCATTTTGTACAAAGAGTATATATTTTCCTTCAACAAATAGTTTGCCATTCCTTTGAAAGGTATCTCATTCAAGCCATACAACTGTACGAGGATGTCCTCTCACTTTCTGAGAAAGGAGATAGCCAGATTGGGAAGCCATGGAGGATGGACCCAAGTGAACCCCGCTCTCTCTGATCCCCAGTTCAGGTGCCCCACATGAGATAGTCTTGGAAGCTTTGAGGAAAAATTCACAGAAAACCATCCTTGGCTAGAGAAACTGGGAGTGCAGCCACACACCATGTCCCTTGGCTCTCAGACAGGGATGGCTGCCCACAGCAGGCAGGAGCTTAGTGCTATCAGAGGAATGTCTGGACTCAGGACCACCCAAGGCCCTTTCCAACTTTCCCAGGCCTCCAGAGAATAGGCCTCTGGCTGTCTGGGAATGCCCTCAGGGACTCAGGCCCTCCAGTCCACTTTGGTAGTTGAGCCCCCCCACCCCCTCATACTGTCCTGTGTTAGGCCTGGGTCCTGATCTTGTCAAACCTGTAATTGCTGGAAATTCCACTCTCCCAGCCCAGGCCCCCAAACACAACCCCTGGAACAGGCCCTCTCAAGTAAGACCCTGTCTACAGGTGCCAATCTCTGCTACACCCCAAGGACTTAATACCTGTGCACCACCACAAGCACTTCACCAGCCACTAGAGTAACTGGGTGTACTCTACAGAAGACACTCCATCTTCAGGGCAAGAGTGGGTTTGAAGAGGCCATCAACTCCCATGGTTGAACTTGTTGAGTGTTCCATGGGCACTGCATTCTTTTTTTTTTTTTTAAGATTTATTTTTATTGGAAAGGTGGATATACAGAGAGGAGAGACAGAGAGGAAGATCTTCCGTCCGATGATTCACTCTCCAAGTGAGCGCAACGGGCCGATGCTATGCCGGTGCTATGCTGATCCGAAGCCAGGAGCCTCTTCCGGGTCTCCCACATGGGTGCAGGGTCCCAAAGCTTTGGGCCGTCCTCGACTGCCTTCCTGGGCCACAGGCAGGGAGCTGGAAGGGAAGCGGGGTTGCCGGGATTAGAACCGGCGCCCATATGGGATCCCGGGCATGCAAGGTGAGGACCTTAACCACTGCGCCACCGCGCCGGGTCCGGGCACTGCATTCTTGAAAGCAAATGAAGGCACTTGAGAAAGTTCATGAAAAATGGAATGTGAAGATCAGTTTATTCTGGTACCAAACAAAAGTCTGAAATCTACATATATGAGAGGCCCTCAAAAAGTGCATATAAGGAAAAGTGCATATGTGAGGGCAGTTTAGTGGCTCAGCAGGTTAAGCACTGGCATCCCATATGGGCACCAGTTCCTGTCCCAGCTGCTCCATTTCCCATCCAGCTCCCTGCTTGTGGCCTGGGAAAGCAGTCGAGGACAGCCCAATGCTTTTGGCCCCTGCACCCGCGTGGGAGACACAGAAGAAATTCCTGGCTCCTAGCTTCAAATTAGTTCAGTGTGGCTGTTGCAACCACTTGGGAGTGAGCCAGGAGATAGGCGATCTTTCATTATTTCTATAAATCAGCCTTTCCAATAAAAATAACTAAATCTTTTAAAAAAGAAAGGATTATGCATTTTTCAAACCAAAAATATACTTGGTTTTTTTAATTCCATTTTTCCATGAACCTGTACCCATGCCCTTGTAGTTCTTGGTCCTCTTTAGAGCATGAGGTAGGGTGTCCAAGTCACAGGCAATAGAATTCAGAAGAATGTCCTATTTCAGGGTAAAAACTGGTCGAACGCTTGGTTGACATCACATGCCAGTCCAGCATAAAGAACACCAGATCAAGCTAAGATCTGTAAGGGTTGATTATGCACAGGAAAGAACTGTAGGTAAGCTGGGAGACAGCCAACCAAGGGTGGTGAGGAGTCATGGGTTACAGCGGCAACAGCCCAGTTCATAGTACGTCCAAGAGGAAGTAGCTGGGCTTCTTCCTGGCAGACTGTCCTATATTCTGTCTCTCTCTCTTTTTTAAAGATTTATTTTTATTGCCAAGTCAGACATACAGAGAGGAAGATCTGCCCGATGATTCACTCCCCAAGTGACCACAACAACCAGAGCTGAGCTGATCTGAAGCCAGGAGCTGGGAGCTTCTTCCGGGTCTCCCACGTGGATGCAAGGTCCCAAGGCTTTGGGCCGTCCTTGACTGCTTTCCTAGGCCACAAGCACGAAGCTGGATGGGAAGCAGGGTTGCCAGGATTAGAACCAGCGCCCACATGGGATCCCAGTGCATGCAAGGTGAGGACTTTAGCTGTTAGGCCAACCAACGCGCCAGGCCTCATATTCTTTCAAAGACAAACAGCCCTCCAATAATTGACATGGTTCCAGCTTATTGAGCAATTCCAGGGACTTTGTGATGTGCTCCGTGACCTTCTTCTTCCTCCTCTGGCTGAATTGCCCTCTTTCATCCTCACAGATACTCTTTGAAATAGCACCTGTTGATGTACTTGCTCTATTTCACAACAGAGGAAACTAGAGCCTAGAGAAGGACTGCTGATTCTCAAGGGCTCCCAGGGGGTTGGGGCCAGGAACTTCCCGGGCCTGCTCCTAGCTCCCCATAGTACAAGGATCCTTAATCAAATAGTATTTGCATATTAGCTGACAGCCTCTTCCCATATACTATAAATCATCTCTAGATAACCTAGAATACGTAACACAATATGAATAGCTGTTACCCTTGACTGCTTGTCCCTCGTCAGAACAGCTTTGTGTCTTTTAATGTTTTTGATTTGTGCTTGTGGAATACACTGATAAAGAACTCACGTGTCCAGGGCATTGGTTGAGTCACTTGGCCAAGGCGACAAGGTAGTTCACCATTGTCACTGGGTATGGGACCCTCACAGTGTCACCCCAATTGCATGTTCATCCAGTCTCTGGGATCTCAGCATGTATGTGTACCTGAAGATGTGGTTTAACCTACAAGCGAAAAGGAGAGACCAGGCAGGGTTGGGGTGGGCAGTGCTGCAGCATGGCCAGTGAAGCTACTGTCTGTGATGCTGGCATGCTGGACCAACTTCAGTGTAAGTCCCAGCTGCTGTTTCACTTCTGAGCCAGGGGCTCCACAGCAAGCCCACTGCCTGCGAGGCAGCCCAACTGTCCCCTGCCAGGACCTCAGTCCTCCCCCAGGCTAGCAGCATGGCTCTTGAGGGCTCTCCAGGCTTCTGCCTGGTCACAGTTTTCAGAGAGTGGGGTACAATCAGAAACCCCCAAGATAGGGTTCCAAGCAAGCCCTGGGAACATAGCCAGTCTGTGTGAGAAGAAAAACCAAATGCTGGTAAAGAATAGAAAAAAAAAAAATTAAAAAGGCTAAACATGTGCAGAAGTTACTCTGTGACATCTGATCTTGGGGGGGAAATTTTTGAGTATTTCAGCTCCCCCATGGAGCATCTCCATTCCACTGCCTGGTTAGTTCTTTCATGAAACCTGATACTGTTCTGAATAATGGATTGATGAACTCTTCTGAGTGTGCGATCCTCCAGCGGGGCCCCACAAATCTCACTGCCTAGCATGGGGTAGTTGGGTTTGTCCAAAAAACCCAATCAATCCAGTTTTTTTTTTCCTGGCAAATGATTTTTAAAAAAAAATCCTAAGTATGTTCAATGTGCTTATCCCCAATTTAATTTAACCAGCCTTCCTGTCATCTGCTAAACCTACTTATTAATGGGAATAAACTTTGAATAAACTTTGTGTGTGTGTGGTCTGCTCTAAACTTGCGGCACAAACTTGGTGGCAACGCTTGGCCTCTGTGGGCCTCAGTGTCGCTATCCAAAAAATGGGGGTTTGAGCAGGCAGCTGTGGCGCAGGCAGCTCCAGCGCAGGAGAGAACGCCAGGGGAAAGCGCCAACGGCAGACGCCGGGCACGCGTCGCCAGACTGGGCAGAGATGCCCGCTGTCGTCGCCAAGGCCGGGACTCACCCCGACCCCACGCGGCCGAGGCCCGCCAGAGGCTGTCGCCATGGCAACGCGGGCAGCCTGGAACCCCCTGCCCTCACAAAGCCACGCGTTTCCGCTGCGCTGGAGTCTTCTGATTGGACGGTCGTTTGGACGCTACCACCCGTCCCGAACCCGTAAAGGGGTGGAGGAGGAGGAGTTTGAGCCTCGTGGGACTCGTGCCCTGAAGGCCTGTGCCTGTGGCCCCTCTGCCTCACGCGACTGAGGTTGGGAGAGAGTCCATAGCTCTTCCTAGAGCTCATACTCATCCCTCTTTCCGACCAGCTGAGTGGGGGGCGGGAAAGGCAGTAACGCCCCCTTCGGAGCCCATTCGTTCTCTACAACTGGAGCACCGGAAGTGTTGGCGACGTGTCTGTGCGCCCGACTCTAAACCTTCCCCCCCCCAACACGCCACTCTTCCCATTCAGCTATGGCATTCCGGGGCCCTCCTGGGCGCTGCACCCGCCACTTCCGTAGCAAATCGCCGCTTCAACCGAACTCCCTCCCTCTGCGCGCGCTCCGTCTTGTGCCCGGTGGTTGGGTCGGCGCCTGGGCATGGCCACGCCCTTTCCCTCACCTGGCAGCCAATGAGAGCACGGCTCTCGACTGGGTGGTGGGTAATTAATGAGGGCCGCGCGGTGATTGGCTGCCGGACCGCGGCTTGGGGGGCTGGGCGGCGGGGTAGGTTGTTCCCGAGGTGGGAGGCGGCACCCGCGGCTGGAGGAGGAGGCCGGAGCGCGACATGTCCCCGGCGGCTCAGGCAGAGCGGCTCGTGGCGCTGTTTTTCTGAGTCCCGGGGACGGCCCGGCGGTCGGCCGGCCGAGAGCAACAATAGCAACAAAAACCCATCGGCCGGGGGGCTGTCCCCTCCTCGCAGGGGTGGCCGCCATGCCGGGGGCCCGAGCGGTGGAGGGAGCCGTGGTGGCGCTGCTACGACTGCTGCTGCTGCTGGCGCTCCGCGGGCCGGGGCTCGGCGTGGGTCGCGCGGCGGGGGCCGGGCTGCCCGAGAGCGTCATCTGGGCGGTCAACGCGGGCGGCGAGGCGCATGTGGACGTGCACGGGATTCACTTCCGCAAGGACCCTCTGGAAGGCCGGGTGGGCCGAGGTGAGAGAGAGGAGTGAGCGCCCCTCGGCCGCTGCCGGGAGGCCTGCGGTGCTGGCCTCAGCCGCCGGAGGGCAGCTGGCCTCGAGCCCCGTCCTCAGCCCGGCAGCCACGTCCCTGGGGTTGAAGTTCCCTCTGCTTGCAGTTGCCCTCAGGGACTTGGGTCTCAGAGCCCAAGGCCTGGCCCTGGCTCCCATCGAGGCACAGAGTTGGCGAGAAGTTGTCTTTTGGACCAGCGCGCATCTTGCATGGGAGCAGCTCCTCGCCGTCCTCACCAACCCAAGCTAGGAGAGTAAAGGACGAGGGCGGGCTCGTGCCCCCTCGAGGCCACATGGCTTGCCTTGCAGGTCATCGCCGGTCCCCTTGCCTTCTTTGATCGAGAAGGTTGCTGGCAGGATCTTAACAGCCCCGAAATGAGGCCGTTCTCGTGGTTGCTGCTGCAGGAGCCCGGCTCGGTCCTTAGTCAGAATCGCGACACGTCTTCAAGGAGGGTGGGTTGGGAAAAGTTTGATGGAGCCAGGAGGACATGTGCTTAAAAGTGGAAGCTGCGGGATGGTTGTATGGGAGCCGAGTGGCATGGGAGGCTTGCGTGGCCCCGGGACCCATTGTAAAACGATGTGGATGCCAGAGAGGGTACAGCCTAGCGCAGGTGGCCTGGAAAAGAGATTCCAACTGCCAGGGGGTGGGGGAACCATTGGGCACCACAGTCTTTTTTGTTTTGTTTTGCTTTCAAAGCATGCATAAAAATTGGCAGGGCAGGTGGTTAAACTGCAGACTCCCAAGGGCCCCACTCCGGCTGTGTGAAACTTCCTTTTTTCCCCTCCCTCCAGGGACCCAGGTTTCTGTTCCGTGGGCCCCTTGATGAAGGTTGTCCCAGACCAGTTTTTCGAGGGGGAAGAAAAATCCTGTATTGTTTTTGTCTTTTAAGTAGAATAGGGAAACAGGTTTAAAAAGGAAGTTAATGTATTGGATGCCATATTCTGGGTTTTGAGCATGCAAGATGGGCAACAAGCTGCCCCAGTCAACATTTCTCTGAGATTCTCCCAGCTTGAGCCTGTGTCTTAGAGACTGCTACATTGAGGAGTTTACTGTTTCCCTACGTGTGAGGGTCTTGGGACCCCACCGCTGTCTTTTCAGAAATTCTCTATCTTGGAATTCATGTAACCCTGGCACATCGGTTGTGTGGTAACCTTGGGTTCAGCTGAGGCAGACTTCATGGCGAGAGGCCATCGCCAAGCTCACCCTGGACCCTTCCTCTTTCTTCATGCCTGTGGGCGGCCTTGAGGAAACGGCAGACGGTTTGTGGACTTTGCCTGTGGAGATAGCAGCGGGAGTGTTCAGATAGAGGTTGGTGTGCAGATGCTTCCCTTCCCGTGAGCCCGCAGCCTGACACTGGGAGAGCGGTCCGCTGTTCCGGGGGAAGAGAACTGAGACCACATGGGTGTAGTCTCCAGCCCCTGCCCTTCCTCCGCAAGCTGGTGTGGCAGTTGGGTGTTGGTCTATCCAGCTCTCTTCCCCACGTGGTTGGCTCATGGTTGCAATTCCTTGGGAGGAATTTTCTGTAGCAGGTAAAATTACAGGAGACCTGCCAAAACTGGTGTCCTGGAGGCTTCCTGTTTTTGGGACACTGGCCTTTAGGGTGTTGAATAAGGAGGCTGCCTGCTCCCTCCTGCACGTGCACAGCAGGACTAAGGCATGGGTGGGGCTCTGCTAGGACCTGCATGTTGCACTTGCCCAAGTTCCCGAAAGTATTTGAGCTGGCGCTGGGATTGGGTCTTAAGCCTGTCTAGCTCAGGAAGCAGCTTGCTGTAGATTAGGGGTGAGCCTCACCAAGGGCGATGTGGCTGTTCCCTCCGCTCACCATCTCTGGCCCTGTCGATGGCCCTGCTGTGGGGTTGAAGGTGGGCCAGGTGCCTTCTTTAGCTATGCACTGATTACAAGTGGAGAGATGTGACACGCCTGTGACATAGTTTCCAATGAGCCGAGGAAAGTTCATTTTATACTGAATGAATTCACCTGTTTGTTGCCGAGTTAGGCCAGATAAGGGTTTGGCCTGCTTTTGAACTTGCTGCTTCCCTGCAGTTCCTTTGTAGTTCAGCATTCCAGCTCCCAGTGCTCCGGCCCAGGGCACCTGCCGGCTTATGCTTTCAAAGACATTTCATAATAATGTCTGTTGGACTGGCTAGAGGAGAGCTGGTGTTCACAGCCTGAGATCGTCAGCCAGAGCCTTACCTCTGGGCACACTATACGGGTTCTTACTCGGTCATCCATGGTTTTTGACTCTGGATTAGCTGGCCTGAGGGCACAGAGGTTGGTGTGGCAGCTGGGGAAGACTCTGCTGCTTGCAGAAAGATGGTGTGGAAACCCGTGTAACCTTGAGGAACCTGCTTTGCCTCTCAGCCTTGTTTTCTTTCCTGGTAAAACTTGTGCTGTAGAAAAAACTGCTTGGGCAGAGTAGGCTGAAGTGTCATCGCCTGTTTCTTTCTTTGATGGAATTAAAAATAAGGCAGAACATGGCTCCAGATGGGGGAAAAGGTTGGCTTCCTCGACAGCCTATCAGATGAGTCATTTACATCGCCACCAAGGAAGACCCCCTTCTTGTGGACAGTCCGCCTTTCAGCTAGGGAGAGGATCTGCTCATGCGCAGATAACCAGCTTGAAAGGTAAGAAGGGAGTGGAGGAGGTTAGCGGCTGGCTGGCTGGCTGGCTGGCTGGCTTGTGACCCTCTCATCACTGGTTGACAGGCCTGGTCTGCAGGGGGCAGAAGTTCACAGGTGGAGAATGTAGGTCACTGTGGCCTTGGGTTCCTTGCCTCACTCAGTCTGTTGGGAAGAGTAATTTAGCAACTGACCTCATGTGAGATCAGTGATTCAGAGGGAACTAGCGATAGGGGCCTTGTGCTGGGCGATGGAATGTGGCAAATGGTGGACCTGCTGCTGCTCCTTTGGGCTTTTTGTGGGTCTGAGCTTCTCAGCCACATTTTCTAATCAGTTGTCTTCTTTTGTTCTTCCTTTCTTTTTAAAAGATGTGCTTATTTGTTAGAGAGGGAAAAACAGAGGGAAAGATATTATGTCTGGTGGTTTATTCTATAAATGGCCACAGTGACCCGAGCTGAGCCAGTCTGAAGCCAGGAGCTTCTTCCACATGGGTTCAGGGGCCCAAACACTTGAGTCGTTTTCCACTGCTTTACCAGGTACATAGGCAGAATAGGTTGGAAATGGAGCCGCTGGATCTTGAACCAGCATCCCTTTCATAAAAGGGTGCTTTGCTCATTATGCCACAAGGCTGAGTCCCTGAATCAATTTTTACTTGAAAGACTTATTAGTTTTTATTTGAAAGGGAGATTTGGAGAGAGAAGGAGAGGCACAGAGAAAGATCTTCCATAAGCTGGTTCACTTTCCAAATGGCACAACAACGGGCTGGGCTGTTCCAAAGCCAGGAGCTTGGATCTTCTTCCAGGTCTCATGTGGTTGCCTGCTGCATTCCTGGGCACATTAGCAGGGAACTGGGTCAGAAGTGGAACATCTGGGACTTGAACCAGCATCCATATGAGATGACAGCACTTCAAGTAGAAGTTTAATATACTTTGTGGTGGTACCTACCCTCTCTAATCAGTATTATTACTCACTTTTCCTTTTAGTCTGTTTCCTAAACACCCTAGGTTGTAGGCATTTATTTTGGTGTTTATTGTATGTATCTCTCTGGCTGTCATACCTGTTATTCTCTGTCAGGCATTGTATTAAGTTTTTTTTTTTTTTTAAGAATTATTTGTTTTGGAAGTTATAGACAAAGAGAAGTTGGTCTTTCATCTGCTGGGTCATTCCCTAGGAGGCTGCAACAGCCAGCATTGGATCAGGTCAAAGCGAGGGGCCCGCAGCTTTATCTAGGATTCCCACATGGATGGTAGGGGTCCAGAAACTTGAGCTGGCCTCTACTACTATCCCAGGCCGTTAGCAAGGGAGCTGGATCGAAAGCGGAGCAGCCAAGACACAATACCCTTGTGGGGTGTGTCACAAGTAGCAACTTCTCCCACTGTGCTGTAACACTAGCCCCAATTCTTTTTTGATTGGTTTATTTATTTAGAAGGGAAGAAAGGAAAAGGAGAGAGATTGAGATCTTCTGTCTGCTGATTCGTTTCCCAAATGGCTATAACAACTGGGGCTGGCCAAGGTTAAAGCTAGGGACCATGGAACTTCATCTGTGTCTCCCCTTCGGTTGTGGAGACCCCATGGATTTGAGACCATCTACTGCTGCATCCAGGCCCATAAACAGGGAACTGCACCAGAAGTGGACCGTCGGGAACGGCCACTTTGTACTCATGGGATCATGACAGGTGGTAGCTAACCTTGTGTACTATAATGCTGGCCCTTGGATTAAGCTTTATTTTTTGCTTTGTGTGTGTGTGTGTGTTTATTTGAAAGACAGAAAAGAAGAGAAATCTTCTAACTGTTGGTTCATCCCTAAATGCCTATAGCAGCTAAAGTGGACCAGGCAAAAGCCTGGAGTTCACTTGGGTCTTCTTAAAGAAGACCCTTCTATTGGAAAGGCAGATCCATAGAGTGGAGGAGAGACAGAGAGAAAGATCTTTCACCCACAGGTTCACTCCCCAAGTGGCCACAATGACTGGGGTTGAGCTGATCTGAAGCCGGGAGTCTGGAGCTTCTTCTGGGTCTCCCATGCAGGTGAAGGGTCCGGTCTCAAGGCTTTGGACCATCCTTGGCTGCTTTTCCAGGCCACAAGCAGGGAGCTGGAAAGAGTGGAGCAGCAAGGACACAAACCAGCACCCCATGGCATCCTGGCGTGTGCAAGGTGAGGATTTCGCCACAAGCCATTGCGCCGGCCCTTCACCTGGGTCTTGGCACATGGGTATAAGCACTTGGACCGTCTTCCATCGCTTCTCTGGGTAAATTAGCAGGGTCTTGATTTAGTAGTGGAAGAGCTTGGATTTGAACCAATGCCCATATGGGGTGTTAACGTTGCATCAGCTTAACCCACAAGACAATTTTGTGGCATAGATCATATCCTCATAGGTGAGAAAAGAAACTTCAAGAAAACCACCTCTTCAGCATCACTGACTAGGTGGCAGAGCCAGGATTCAAATCCAGGCCTGTCTTACCTAAAACATGGGATGAATCTTCCAGAGCACCTGGCTGCTCTGTTTTGAACTGAGAAGCAGTTCCTATGCTGTGCCAAACTCAGCAGTGTGCTGACTGTACAGTTCATTATATTTTAGCGGAATCGCTGTAATTGAGAAGGCATTAAAAGACTAAGGAGGGAAGAAAAGTTTTCGTTGCTGCATCTCCTGGGACTTGGGCAAGTTACACTCTACATGTGGCAGATATCTCAGGAAAGTCACTTTAAAGGAAAGATAAGGCTGAATGTTATGAGGTTAAGCTACCTATTGGGATGCTGGTATCCTGAGTGGGAGCGGTGGTTCAAGTCCTGGCTCTTCCTCTTCCCATTGAGCTTCCTGCTAGTGTGTCCTAGGAGGCAGCGGATGACAGCTCAAATTTTTATGTTCCTTCCACCTTTGTGGGAAACCAGGTGGAGTTCCAGGCTCCCAGCTTTGGCTTGATCCAGCACTGGCTATTATGGGCATTTTAGTGAATCAGAAGATAGAAGACATTTATTCACACTCTCACAGACACAGATTAACACACTCTGCCTTGCCTTCCAAGTAAGTGAAAAAATTAAGAATAGTGGACCCAGTACTATGGCTCAATGGCTAAGTCCTTGCCTTGCAAGAGCCAGAAATCCGTATGGGCACCAGCTTGTGTCCCAGCTACTCTAATTCCGATCAAGCTCCCTGCTTATGTCCTGGAAAAGCAGTGGAGGGTGGCCCAAGGCCTTGGGACCCTGTACCCAGAAGAAGCTTCTGACTCCTGGCTTCAGATCAGCTCAGCTCCAGTTGTTGTGGCCATTTGGGGAGTGAGTAGATGGAAGATCTTTCTATAAATCTCATTTGTCTTTCCAATAAAAATCAATCTTAAGAATAAGAATGTAAAAGAGAGGAATAAGTATTTAAAGATATATGGGCCCAACACGGTAGCATAGTGGCTAAAGTCCTCGCTTTGCACGCACCAGGATCCCATGTGGCCACTGGTTCTAATCCTGGTCACTCCGCTTCCCATCCAGCTCCCTGCTTGTGGCCTGGGAAAGCAGTGGAGAACGGGTCAAAGCCTTGGGACTCTGCACCCATGTGGGAGACCTGGACGAGGCTCCAGGCTCCTGGCTTCAGATTGGCTCAGCTCTGGCTGTTGTGGCTGCTTGGGGAGTGAATCAGTGGGCGGAGGATCTTTCTGTCTCTCCTTCTTGCTGTATATCTGCCTTTCCAATAAAAATAAATCTTTTAAAAAGATACATAGTTAAAGATTTATATGAATAATTCCAGATTACTGAGTGATTTTATACACATAGCTGGATTTCTTTAGCTGTGAAACTGAGATGGGCACAGATTGTTTCTACCAGTTTTTGTCTCTTTCCACTAGACAAAGTGAATATTTCCCATGCAGGCACAAACTTTTCTGTTTATCAGTAAATTAGAGCTAATCAATGCTCCACATTGGTCAGGATAATCTGGAAGAAGAAAATGTTACAGCTGACTCAGAATTAGCAGGTTTGAGTTTTGTTTTTTTTTTCCCTGTGAAAGAGGCTGGGGCCTGTTAAGAGTGCATTCTTTGTGGTACCACTTGCCTAGCCTTCTTTGATTTCTTGAGGAGGAAAGAAAAGAGTCTGGAGATAAAAGTGGCTGTGTTTCCTGTCCCATTGTCTCATCAGCTCATCTGATCTCACAGCTCATGTCACTTACAGGAACTGTTAGTGGCTTTGTTTATTGTTTGGAGGGCTTGACCTCAGCCACTAGGTCTTTGAGTTAATTTTTTACCTTGTCTTTTGGTGACCGAGAAGGAAGTTCTTACTGCAGCCAGTGCGGGCTGCTTTTGGGAATCCTCCAAAGGATGGAGGTGGCCCCTGTCTTCTGGGGTCCTCCTGTGAGACCAGAAGGCAGCACAGTCTGAACCCCATGGTGGAAGAGAAACCACTGTGTCACTGGAACCTTGGGAAGCCGCCTCATGTTCACAGTGGGGGAGGAGACATGGCCCTTTGTTTCTGGGGCTATACGGTGATGTCTTACATTTGGGGGAAGACCTCAGTTTAGCACGTTTTGTGAGACGGGAAGTAGGGTGGCTGACAGTTGATGTCCTGACCCGACTTAAGTAACTTTTTAACTTCAGGGTGAACCAGGAGACTCTCCCTGCCCCCTCATCCTTGGGCATCTTAAGCCAGAGGTGCTAGCAGGGCCCCAGCAAGTTGTGTGTTTTCCCTCTTGCCTTATGGAGGGAGTGAATGGCCTGGTTTTCCCTCTCCCAGTGAACCATCCCCTTAGGTGCTGGAGGTGGGCCAAGATCTTTTCTGTTGGATAAACTGAGAGTACCACGTAGGGTTTTGAGGGTCTTGGGAAGCAAGACATGTAGACTTGAAGGCAAGTATGGAACATCTGCGCCCTTCTTTTGATAAGCCTGTTTCTCTATCAGCCTTGGTGCTTTGCAGCTGAAAATTTTACAAAACCGGCTAATGTTGGTGTTCTTACTTGTACTAAAGGTAACAACAGATGTCTTTCCTATTGAGATATCCTGTTTGGTTTTGACTCAGCTTTTCTGAGTGAGGAAGAATAAAAGCAGTTCTTTAGCCTGACTCATCCTGTGTCAAGTTCCTGGCCCCCTCCCTGGAAGCTGTCCCTCTGGGGAGCCAGGGGTCTTTCTCACTTTCTGTAAACAGCAGGCTAGCCTATGTATGCTCATTATTCCACTGTAGAAAAGTCAGCGCAGTTGGTGGGGTATTTAGTGTTTATTATTTTTTGTGGTATTTTTGGGAGAAGTAATTGATTCCTACCTGCATATGAGCACAGTGTGGGGTCGGGTACAGATGGGGTGGGTCTCCTACCAAAAGTATTGCTAACATTGGCCTGGAATGCTCCCTGGCAGTTCTGGGTCTCTGCTGCTGTGTCTTGCTTCTGATATGTTTTCTCTTGATCTTTTGTCCCCAGCCTCAGACTATGGCATGAAACTGCCAATCCTGCGTTCCAACCCCGAGGACCAGATCCTCTATCAAACAGAACGGTACAATGAGGAGACGTTTGGCTACGAAGTGCCCATCAAGGAGGAGGGGGACTACGTGCTGGTGTTGAAGTTTGCCGAAGTCTACTTTGCACAGTCCCAGCAGAAGGTGAGGCCTGGTCCTGCCCCTGCTAGGACCAGTGGATGTGACTGCCCTTGGAGAGTCTTATGCTGCGGGACCAGAATGTGTGAGAGCTGTTCCTCCCGCCTGCTTCCAGGAGGGAGGAACAGTTGAACTCAGAGGAAAGCCAGATTCCCTGTGCCTGTTGAGAAATCCTGTTCTGTTGGCCATGAGGCTACATGGTCTCCTGGACTGGTGACAACGCGGTGCTGGCATCCTAGTCCTTGTCAGTCCACCACCCATCCTGTGAAAGCCTGCCTGGTTTTGTTGTAGCTTTATTCTTCTGTCTTTTCCTGAGAACTTCTTGTTTCACATGTAACTTTTTGTTTGTATCCTTTGATCTTCCGGGCAAATAGGAAACGTCTTTGGCAGGGAGGGATGTGGCTTTGATTTGGCCTAGGTCTGGGACCTCCAGCACCCCCGGAGGATCTCCAGCTCCAGGGTTTCCTAAATTGTTTTTGTTTTGTTTTTTGACTTGAAGCCCAGACCAGGTGCATGATGTTCAGCTGCCTAAGGGGTTGTGAAGCTGATGGTTTTGACTTTTTCTCTTGTTCTGATCCTGATAGGTGTTCGATGTGCGGTTGAATGGCCATGTTGTAGTGAAGGACCTGGATATCTTTGACCGTGTGGGACACAGCACAGCTCACGATGAAATCATCCCCATGAGCATCCGCAAGGGCAAGCTGAGTGTCCAGGGGGAGGTGTCTACCTTCACCGGGAAACTCTACATTGAGTTCGTCAAGGTAACTGCCCTGGGCTGGGCCTCCTAGCTGGGGAAGGGGTTGCTGGCTGAGTGTGGGACTGACCCCTGTCATCCATTTCCTAGGGTTACTACGACAATCCGAAAGTCTGTGCACTCTATATCCTGGCTGGGACAGTGGATGGTAGGTGATGCTTTTTACCTGCTTTTGGGACTCTGCTGAAGAGTGAGATTGAGAAAACCCTTGGGAGTTCATTTAACTCATTGCTAAAGGAAACTTGCATGTCTTGTGTTTGCATTGTTCAACGCCTACTTCCTAGGAGCAAAAGGCAAAAGGAGGAAAAGCATCCTTGTGGAGCTGGGCTGCAGGGGAACAGCCCTTGCTTATTGATGTCTCCTGGTCCTTCCTCAGCACCTGTCTTTCTCAGGTTTAGATCATCCTGGCTGCCACTTCCCGGGCTGTTTTGTAGAGAAAACTTGTGTGTTAGTGACTCTTCTCTGTCCTCCTTTTGAAATGTATGTGTGTGTGTTTGTTTTTTGGAAAGCCAGATATACAGAGCGAAGGAGAGACAGAGGAAGATCTTCCGGTTCACTCCCCAAGCGGCCGCAATGGCTGGAGCTGAGCCAATCCAGAGCCAGGAGCCAGGAACTTCTTCCATGTCTCGCACAGAGATGCAGGGTCCCAAGACTGCTTTCCCAGGCCACAGACAGGGAGCTTGGATGGGTAGCGGGGCAACCGGGATTAGAACCAGTGCTCATATTGGATCCCGGAGCATTCAAGGCAAGGACTTAACTGCTTAACATTGTGCTGGGCCCAATGTTTTTTTTTTTTTTAATAAACATATTTTTTAATTGTCTATTAAAAAGTATTATTTACTTGAAAAGGAGAATGGCAGAAGAAAAGAGGAGAGATAGCTTCTGTCCACTGATTGACTCCTCAAATGCCCACAACTAGGACAAAGCTGGGCACAGGGGATTCGGTCTGGGTCTTCTTTTTTAAAAAAGATTTATTTATTTTTACTGGAAAGGCGGATTTACAGAGAGAAGGAGAGACAGAAAAATCTTCCATCCGCCAGTTCACTCCCAAGTAGCCCCAACGACCGGAGCTGAGCTGGATCCAAAGCCAGAGCCAGGAGCTTCTTTTGGGTCTCCCAAGCGGATGCAGAGTCCCAAGGGTTTGGGCCGTCCTTGACTGCTTTCCCATGCCACTAGCAGGGATCTGGATTGGGAAGTGGAGCAGCCGGGACATAAACCAGCGATCATTTTGAGATCGTAGCACATGCAAGGCAAGGATTTTAGCCGCTAGGCTACTGTGCCAGACTGAAGTCTGGGTCTTCTGTGTGGGTGCCAGAAACCCAAGTACTAGAAGCCTCAGTCCCCCTTCCCCAGGGGACATTGCAGGAAGATAGATAGAACTGGGAACAGAGCTGAAACTTGAAGCTAGGCACTCTAATAGTGGATATGGTCATCTCAACCACTCGGTCAAATGCTTGCCCTTAGCTTATCTTGAGCATTCTGAAAATCCAATCCTCTTGTCTTGATGTCATCCCATCTGCTGGGGAGAGGAAAGATGGGTCACCACCAGGCGGGTCTCTAAGGAGGTGACAAGGATAGGGAAGAAACACATGTTGAGAACTTTACTGTGAGGTGAGGATCGGCTCTTGCCTTTGTGAGTTAAACAAAAATGTGGGCTTGAGGAAAAGGAATTTGGAAAGTCTGACAGTATCAGGGTGTTGTCACTGTCCAATCTGATCCTCCTGGGCTATGAAGGGGAATCAGGCTCTTCTCTGAGGATAGAACTTTGACTTACATCTGAAGACCTGTGTTGGCAGCACGCTGCTCTCCTGTAGGCCAGACATGCTCCTTCCTTGAAACCCTGGTTCAGGTCCTGTATGCCTCTGGTGTGACTCCTTTGGCATTCTAGGGGATCTCTGTAGCAAGTGCTAGGTCTTACGTAATAGGTGTTTTCTGTCTCTTGTTAGATGTACCAAAGCTGCAGCCTCATCCAGGACTAGAGAAGAAAGAAGAGGAAGAGGAAGAAGAAGAATATGATGAAGGGTCTAATCTCAAAAGACAGACCAATAAGAACCGAGTGCAGTCGGGCCCGCGCACACCCAACCCCTATGCCTCGGACAACAGCAGCCTCATGTTTCCCATCCTGGTGGCCTTCGGAGTCTTCATTCCAACCCTCTTCTGCCTCTGCCGATTGTGAGAATAAATTACCATCCTGAACAGGATGGAGGGGTGTGGGAAAGAAACCAAACACATTGGTTTTGGTTTCTGTATTCTTCAAATTGATTAACAAACAAACAAACAAACAAAAAAACCAAAAAAACACAGAAACAGTCAAGGAAATCAAAAGGGCGGGGGCTTGAGGAAAGCAGCCCTCACCCACCACCTCTTCTGGACCTGCTTCAGTTCTAGTACTCCCTGTGGCTGGCCTCGGCCAGCCCTCCTCTCCAGGGTCCTTAGGGGAAATGGGATCCTCGCTGTCCAGGATCCCCTTTTGGGCACCTCGTGGAAAGGGCTCTGAACTCATAGCAGGTTGTGGTTGCTCTGTTTAGTTAGCACTTAGCAGCAGGGAAGACCAGCCCTGGAAGTCGGGAATTCTGAAGTGAGAGCCAGATTGAGAAAATGTGTGTGGAAAGTTTAAATTTTTAAGGTTAAGATGAAAGAAGGGAAGTGTTTTTTTCTTTTTGTTGTTGTTGTTTCTTTTCTTTTCTTTTTTTTTTTTAAGAAGAAGGAAAAGCTGGTGCTTGCCTGGAAGCCTCTGGATGCTGCCAGCAGCTCCATGTTGAGTGTTTAAGCTTTGTTGCTGTGCTAGTTGCAGGACAATTGCTCTGTCTGGTCCTCAGGTGGCCTCTGATGTGGTACCACAACGGATCAATCACTTTGATTTCAGTGCCTGTTGGGGACTTGATTGCTTCTCAGTTTTCTTCTAAATCTGATGTATTTGAAATCTCTTCTTCCTCTTAACCATTCAAGTTATTGGCAAGAAGGAATGGAGACATGGGAACCTGGGGCTCTGCCTGCTCAGCTGTCTCATCCTTTGTCGCCTCAGCTTGCTGGTACCTCCCTTCTTGGCTCTCGGAGCTGGCAGCCAGGAGGCCCTGACCCAGCAGTTCTTTGCTGGCCCATTCTTAGGGTCTCCCTGCCAGGGGGCAGGGATACTTTTCAGCCTGCAGCAAAAGAACACTTGACCTTAAAAGTCTCTTCTGATCTCTGGATTAGGAAGGGCTTAGTTAGCACCGTTTAAGAGCAACCTCAGAGACTTGAGCCCTACTCAGTGCCTGAGCACTGTTGAGAATGTCTCATATCCGATGTTCGTTTTCCTCCATGTCATTCATTCTGTGTCACTCTTCAGCCAGCCTTGGTTGATGGCCAGACTGCCCCAGGGAACTAGACTGATCAGCTAAATCAGCCCAGTGACCTCTCAAACAGAGCTGTGTGGCTTTTGGCTGCTCTCTTCCCTCTCCAGGTAGCAATCAGGTTCTTGGTGTGATGGGCTCTGAGTCAGCTGTGGCCCCAGCAGCTCTGAAGCTGTTCTTAGCAACCAAGTGTCTGTCTTGAACTCCCTGGAGACTTTGCTGCAGGAGGTGAAGCTTCCCCGTGCCTTCTGTCTAACCACCTGACCACCGTCATCTGTCTCGCAGTGAGGGTCACGGTGAGGGAGGGCCCAGCCAAGCTAAAGGGAATTCTGGGGCTGGGAGGCAGCGGGAGGAGCTTCAGCCCAGGCTGGGCCACGGTACACTTTCTCAGGCCAGGCCCATCCTTCTTGAATGTGCTTAATTTTGAGTTTGCCTTATAAGATATGTTTTTGAAGAGTCCTGTATATTAGAGCTGTCCTTTATCTGACAAAGTAAGTAGCTCTGGGCTGTTGGCGATGACTCCAGGCCAGCATTCAGTCACTTGAGGTCAAGGCCCTTATTTTCGCTGTGATTTGGGCGTTGGTCCTAGGGTAGTCAGGCAGCTGGGTGGCTATAGAATACTTCTGGAGTGCTTCTTGATGTTCTTCTGCTCCTAAGGGATGAGCTGCTGTAGCTTAGGTCCTGGGGGCAGCCTTGCTGGGGCCACAGACCTCTGTCTGATTCGGCTTCCAAGGGTGAATTTGGTTCCTGCTCCATCAGAACTTCTCAGAGCAATGGGCCACTGCCAGTGGATCAGACAAGATGCGCCAGGAGGCTGCTGCCTCCTTTGGCCTTGTTTGTTAGTTTGCCTGTGTCTCTGAGGAAGTAGGGGGTCCTGCCTCCTCACCTCGGCCCATCCCTGTGATGACTCAGAGTCCCAGAAGGAAACCCTGGCTCCTGGGCCCATTTCCTAACGGTACTGTAAGCCAAGCAGCTCTGCTTCTGCCTCTGTTTCCAAGCCTACCCCTCCCCACTGAGCTCAGGGCTGGGGATGGGTACTTTCCTCTTTGGTTGTGACCAAAAGGAAGGAACATCTTTCTGAGGCTAACAAAAACTAAAGGGGGATATAAGGAAACAGGAAGAAGTGTGGTGGGGGGTGGGGTAGATTCCCCTGGAGCCAAGCCCACCCGGCCAGCAAGAGCGAGGGCTTCCTATGGCTGGCAACGGTTGGCTCCAATGCTTAACTTGAAAGCTTTTTTTTTTTTCTTTCCCTCTTTGAGTGGGGGGCTGTCCTCCCAGAAGATATATAAGGTACATGAAGTTTAGGTTAAAGGGTGGGGATGGGGCACTCTTTTTCTGTATAGTGTGTGTGAAGAATTATTCTGTTGTTCATCTTTTGCTTTTTGCACTGTTTGTCCCTCTGTGTGTGTTTTGAGCTTGTGTTAGGACTGAGACACTGCTGCCCTGCAGGGAGCGCATCTGGGCTGCGCTGGGCTGGGCTACGCTGCGCTGCTCTGCGTTGCTCTGCGTTGCTCTGTGTTGCTGAGTGACGCCAGCCTAAGACGGTGGGGAGGAGAGGCCTGGCTCCTGGGCTCTGCAGACTCGGTCTCAGCCGCCTGATGACTGCGGGGGGGGGGGGTGTCTTCTTTGGCTAGAAGCCTCGCTCAGGTCAGTTTGAGGGAGCTGTGTGCCGAGGCATCTCTTGGAGACAGGCTGAAAGAGATAGTAGCCCAGCCCTGGCTTGGGGTGAGCCAGCTGCTTTTTTTTAAGAACTCACACTCTTGCTGACTAAAACATTGTGCGAAGATAGTATCTGCGGGATCCTTATCCCTTAAACCAAATCCATGTTTTTGAAGAGTGTCTGCTGAGACACTCTTCTGCTGGCGAGAAGCCGAGAAGCCGGGCCCAGCCTGAGTAGTGGAGATCTGAATGGTGGTCATCTTCAGGTGTTAGCAGCGGTGGTGGACTCCTGGCAGAGCTCACCTCGACCACAGGCCACCAGTCTGTGAGAACGCCAGTGTGTTCCCTTGCACCCCTGCCTAAGAGATACTGGGGGTCATGTGGAGCTCACACAGGCTGTGACGAGGGAGGCTGAAGGCTGAATTAGGTTTACCTCTCCCCTTCTGTGCCTGGAAATTGCCTGGTCCAGCTTAGAACTGTGGTTTAACTTTTTTTTTTTTATCTTTTGGAGAAGCTTCTGTTTTAAGGAATTTCTCTTCCTTCGTCTCCTGCCTGTAGCCTCTCCTGGGAAGGCCTGGCTGTGGCTTCTAGAATCTCATCTGAGAACTTCAGGAACAGCAGCAGTATTTTCCTTTCCTAGCACTTACATCCTTTCCCTAGAAATCAGCTTGGAAGCCCAGGGAAAGGATCATCAGGTTCTCTCCCCTCCCTGGGGGTTGGGGAAGGTCCCACCCCGGTCAGCACAGTGCCTTTTCCTCTCCTGCTCTGAGCCAGGGTGGGCGTTCCCTCTAGATTCAGGTCTGGGCAGGGGTGCGGCTGCCTCCCCTCCCTCCTGCTCCCCTCTGCCAGCCTCCTCTGATGTAATTCAAGTGTCTTCTTGCCTTGAGGAGCCTTTAATGGCATGAAGTGTCAGTGTGGAATATTGTCCTCCATGCCTCTCCAAAGTACCTGGAAGAGCTTTCCCAGTGAGAGACCGACCGATGCTCCTGCTTTTAAAAATGGCACTTTGGCAGGGGTAGGGGTGAGGAGTGTCTTAGAGCCACTGCTGCTGTGGCCCCTGAGGATGGAGACTGGGGCAGGGCGGAGGGATACAAGGCATTGAAGCAGAACCAGAGGCATCCAGGATCTGTTCAGAAATATCAGAAGAAATCTGGCTCTTCTGTGAAAAGATATAATTAGGGATCAAAGAGCCCTAGGAAAATTGCAAAGAAGCCTCACTTTAGCACTTCAGAGCCAACCAAGCAGCTTTCCCTTTCAGCATGAGCCAGGCCTATCCCTGCATTCGGACCTCCCCTTGGGTAAGAAGGCTGGCTGTCCTCCTGTTGGAGCAGAGATGATGGGTACCAGGGGTTCAGCTGCCTGGAGAGGCTGAGCATCCTTGCACAGGTGTGGCTACAGTCCGTCTGGCCTGTCCTTCCCCAGATGCCTTTGTGCAGCTTTCCCTGGGTGGCTGAGTCCTTTTGACAAGAGCAGATTCCCTGGATTTTCCTTCTCTGGGTTGACGGGAAAAGAGCAGGATGGATCTCTTGGGGTGAGTTTCTCCCAGGAATATAAAAACAAGGAGCCAGGATTGTTCTGGCAGCCAGGGAAATGGTGCCTGTTCGAGTTGGCAAAGAGGGCCTTGGCACCTTGGATCCAGGCAGTCTTGTGAGAAGGGGCACCTGGCACGGGGAAAGGCAGAACTCCGTTCCCACCTCTATTTTGAGCTTCAGCGCTTTATTTCAGTATGAGGAAAAACAACAACAAGCTGAAGTGTGCTTTCCGTCCTTTCAAAGGAGAGCCGAGCTGGCAGGGAGGAACCATGGCAAGACCAGGAAAGAGACAGGAGACTCCTCTTTCTTGGTGTGTCCTGATCCAGGGAATGACAAGCAGTTTGACCCTGGATTAGCTTCCTCCTTGAATTTAAGGGATATTACCTTTCCCATCCATGGAATTCTTCGAGACCAGGACCAGCTGCCTCTTCTGAGCTCAGGATAGCCTTTTTGACCATTTTTGGCCTCACCTGGTTTGTTGGAAAACCAAACCCCAGACCTCCAGATTGGGCCTGGCTTCTCTCTTTTCTATCAAGTATTGGGAAAAAAATATGTCAAGTTCTTAGTAGCCCTTGTAGCTCCTTCTCTAGTTTCCTATCCTCTCTGTGCAGAGGCCAAACCAACCCTCTGTTGCCACAGCATGCATTTACAGCGGCGCAGTGAGACGTACTAGAGAGGCTTTGAACCTGGCTGGCCAGGGAAGAAGTAGGGGTGGATAAAGCCGTCATTTCTTCTGGGCTGTTTCCGTCTGTCCCTACCCCTTCCATGCCCCACAACATTCCCACCAAAAAAGTAAAAAAAAAAAAAAAAATCAAGATATTTTTCACTGTCCATTGCTTTGTGTTTTAATAAACAATTTGCAGTGACACTCTGTTGGGGGTTGAGTTTTAACTTTTTATTGCAGATTTCTGTGATGGGACTGGAAAAGAGGAACCCCACAAGGAGTTCTTGTGTCAAGGCTACTGTCCATGTAGCTGTGTTGCTCTTCTTTCCTACAAGATATTTTGTCAGGAAAATAATGCATAGTGAATCCTCAACTGGCCATTTCATCCAGGAGTGCAAATCTAAGGGGAAAACCACAATCACTTTGTTTTTACTTTTATGGAACACCAGGACCCAAACTAACCCACTCAGAGCACATCAGGCCTGCCATTGTGTCTCACAAAATATCCTGGGGACAAGCCAAGCCATAGAATCTCCATTTCTGGTTCACTCTCACTGGTGAGTATACATTGGGTAGGGCAGAATTCATTGAGTTTTTAGTGTAATTTATTAGTCACATCTTAGAGCTGAGGATCATGAAACCAGAAAGTACAGTAATTAACCCATGGCCACTCAGTGAAAGCCAGGAATCAAACCCATGCTCTTTCTAAGACTGTGAGATAATAATTACAGTTCATCCTTGACTGAGCCCTTGAAATGAGCCTGGCACAGAGCCAAGCCCTTTAGAGATATCATCTCTGCTTAATCTACCAGCGAGTCAGTCTTCCCCTTTAAGCAGTGACTTGACTTGTCAAAGGCCACATAGCAAAAGGCAGAGAGAGGATTTTCCTTTTTAGTATTTTCACTTTGAAAAGCAGAGAGAGACAGGAACAGAGATCTCTTGTTGATTTACACCCCAGACACCTGCAACAGCCAGAACTGGGCCAAGCCCAAGTCAGGGACCCCAGAACTCAGTTCTTTGAGGTGGACAGCGGGATCGCAAGTGTTGGGCTTCCTCCGCCTCCCAGGATATGTGTATACGTTACTAGGGAGCCTGGGACTAGAGTTTGGCTCTCTGATACAGGGTGTGGGCTTTTAACCTGCCTGGTAATATGCTCACCTCCAAGCTGGGATTTTTTTTTTTAAGATTTATTTTATTTGAAAGTCATATACAGAGAGGAGGAAAGACAGAGAGGAAGAGCTTCCATCCGTTGATTCACTCCCCAGGCGGCCACAATGGCCGGAGCTGCGCTAATCCAAAGCCAGGAGCCTGGAGCCTCTTCCGGATCCTCTCACAGGCGCAGGCTCACAAGGCTTTGGTCCGTTCTTAGCTGCTTTCCCAGGCCACAAGCAGGGAGCTGGATGGGAAGCAGAGCCGCTGGGACATGAACTGGCGCCCATATGGGATCCTGGTGTGTACAAGGCAAGGACCTTAGCCATTGGGCTACTGTGCTGAGCCCCAAACTTGGATTTTAAACTCTCATTCTTCTATTCCAGGGGTGGAAAATGACTTGCCAGATGTGTAAAACCCCTACAGTCTTTGGTCTAGCTCTGTCAAGGCGACTGAAGATAGAACTGTGATTTAGTAAATCTGTTGTAGACTAAATTTTTAAGTTGATAATTTTGTAGGGTCTGCTTCTGAAGTCAGATACTCAGATGACCTTCAGCAGAAACAAGGTGTCATGTGCCATGACAACAGAGCCTACTATCTAAGTAAGAATGAAGGTGGCTGATTTTCTGCGGGAGGAGAGAGGGAGGCTGGCCTACCTTCCAGGGTTACTCCTGGAGAACAGAGGGCTGTTCTGGGCTCCAAGAACAAGGCTGGTGTTGATGGAATCTGTCTTGAGGGCCCAGACCAGACTAGCCAGCAGGCCCACAGAGCCTCTTTCTTAGGTTGAGCCCACCCGTAACTGGAGTTGTTGGTTTACTTTTTTTTTTTGCTAATTCAGACTAAGCTGTTACTATTTCTAGTATCTGCATAGAAGCTGCCAAATGGGGAAGAGACCTGAAGAAGCCCTGCTGCTCCAGGGAGTTGCAGGAGGGAAACTGTGCGACCCAAGAGCTTGGGCCGAGTCCCGGGGTTGGGTTGGACCAGTCTGTGGGTCCAGATCTTAATCTTGCTAAGGAAATCAGGCTCCCGAGTGGCTGGAGCCGGTGTGTCAGACCTTTCTCCAAACTTAGTAGCCCTCCCATCCCCCAAAGAGGAAAAGAGATGAGATTTTTCCAACACATACTGGAAATCTTGTTGCCCTTAGCCATGGCAAGGGGTCACAGCAGAAGAGGGTGCGGTGGCGCAGGGCCCAGAGCAAGCCTGGCCTCAAGTTGTTTTCTGTTCCTCACCAGTCAGGTTGTTAGTAAGGCAAGCCTCACGGGCTTTCTCCCTCAGGCCTTGTCCCACTCCCCTGGGCCCCTTCATTGCTTTGCCCTGGAGGCCAGTGCTCAAGGCCTGGTCCCTAGCCCCTCTCAGTCTTGTCAGTCACAGCATGCCTGCCATGATGCTCGGGACAAGTCAGGACATTGCCATTGAGACCCCTTGAGGGCCACTGCTGAAAGGGCTCCTCTGGGTGAGTAATGATCTATCCACAGTCATGGCTAGTCAGTGCAGAGCAAGGACTGGAACCTGTCTTATCCCAAAGCCTGTGTCTGTTTTTTTTTTTTTTAAGATTTGTTTTATTTGAAAGGCAGAGTTACATCCATTGGTTCGCTTCCCAAATGGCCACAGTGGCTGGAGCTGGGCAGGTCCAGAGGTAGGAAACTCTTCTAGGTTGCCCATATGCGTACAGGGGCTTCTGCTGTTTTCCCAGGCACATTAGCAGGGAGCTGGATCTGAAGTAGAGCAACCAGGAGTCAAATTAGTGCCCATATTGGATGCTGGCACCACAGGCCAAGGCTTATCCTACATTGCCACAGCACCTGCCCCTTCATACACTTAGTTGACTCAGTATGTCTTGGAGAGCTTCTATATACTGATAGGTCAGTAGCTGGATATTTTCCTTCATCTCAAAGGCTGTGCAGTATTTTATGGTTAGGTTATAGTATAGTTGACCAGCTCCCTTTTGGTGAGTGTTAAAGAATAGTATTCATTGGGCCCAGTGGCGTGGCCTAGCGGCTAAAGTCCTCTCCTTGAACGCCCTGGGATCCCATATGGGCACTGGTTCTAATCCCGGCAGCTCCACTTCCCATCCAGCTCCCTGCTTGTGGCCTGGGAAACAGTGGAGGACGGCCCAAAGCCTTGGGACCCTGTACCCGTGTGGGATACCCAGAAGAAGTTCCTGGATCCTGGCTTTGGATCGGCACAGCACCGGCCGTTGCACTCACTTGGGGAGTGAATCATCGGACAGAGTATCTTCCTCTCTGTCTCTCCTCCTCTCTGTATATTTGATTTTCCAATAAATAAGTAAATCTTAAAAAAAAATAGTTTTCATTTCTTGTTGCCAATTGAAACTGATGCATTAAACATGCCCATATGTACCCGTTTGTGCAAATATATATTAAAGTGTTTTCTTTAGAATGCCTGTAAGGAATTACTGAGTCATACAATACATGCATTAAAAACTTGAAAGTGCTGCCATCCATAAGGTTATGTGGATTTTTACTCACCAGTCTGTGCTCTAGGACTTTGGAATGTACTACAGATTTTTTTTTCCCCAAACTGGAAGGGCATAAATAGTAAATTAGTGCTTTAAAAAAAAAAAAAAAAACAGCCTCAGCCACAGAGTGAAATGACTTGGGCAAGAGTCCCCCAGTCCCAGGCCATGAGGCCTACCTCGCATCACAGCCAGGCCTTGCTGAGTCTAGGCATGCTGCCTTTAGGGCGGCAGCAGAAGTAGGGCTGCGATTCTCAACTGGGGAGAAAAAAGCCCTGTGATGTCTCCCTTGCTTTGCACCAACCGCAGGCCCCACCTGCCTGCCCCACAGAAGGCAGACTGTCCTGGAAAAGTCAGTGTCTTTTATAGAAAAGAAAGCAAATAGCCGGAGCTGGGCTTTAGGGGAGGCCAGCCTTTGTGCCCTAGGCTTCGCATGTTCAACCCAGTTAAGTCCCCAGATGCTGTTGAATACACTAACACTGTGCTTTCCTCACACTGTTGGCATATCCAACTTTTACATATGTTTAAAGTGCCTTTTAATAGGTTAGGGGTCTACAGAAAGGTTATGGAAAAAAATGCATAAGATCAAAAAATTATGCATGGACACCCCCCCCTTTTGGCACCAAAATAAATTGAGCCAGGCAGTTCCTATCTGCTGTGCTTGCTTCACAAATGCCCACAGCTGCTTGGAATGGGCCTGGCTGAAGTCCAGAGTGGAGAATTCAGTGGAGGTCTTCTTGGCTGTCAGGGAGCTGTCTTGCAGGGTGTGCCATTAGCAGGAAGATGGTGACAGAATTGGAGCAGGTACTCTGAAATGGGATGTAGGTGTCCCAACCTGTGGCCCCACCACTAGGTGACTTGCCCACCCACAGCTTACCTTTTAGTTCTATTTTTCCACAAACTAAAAACTCTCATGCCTTAGGAGGATTTCGTAAGGGACATTACATTGAAAGTTATAGCCCTAATTTTTCCTACCCCTCTAAAAAATGAAATTATACACCCTAATTTCTGTATGTTCCATGTTTCTTTTTTAAGAGTTACTCATTTGAAAAGCAGAGTGGCAGACAAAGATCTTTCACCTGCTGGTTCATTCCCTAAAATGGTCATGACATTTTTTGGGCCAGACCAAAGCCAGGAGCAGGGCCCAAGTACTTGGCCATCTTCCAGGGGGCCCTGAAGTAATCACCATTGTGCCCACGTGTGCATTTTTAAAATATTTGTTTTTATTGCAAAGTCAGATATAGAGAGGAAGATCTTCTGTCTAATGGTTCACTCCCCAAGTAACTGCAGCGGCTGGTGCTGTGCTGATCCAAAGCCGAGAGCCAGGAACCTCCTCCTCCCACGTGGGTGCAGGGTCCTAAGACTGGGCCATCCTTGACTGCTTTCCCAGGCCACAGGCAGGGAGCTGGATGGGAAGCAGGGCTGCTGGAACCAGAACTGGTGACCATATGGGATTCTGGTGCGTGCAGGCAAGGACTTTAACCACTACGCTATCATGCTGGGCCCCCACGTGTGCATGTTTAAGTGAGGGCCTTAACACACATGTCATCCTCCTTAGAAAGACAAGGGCCTGGGCCAGGTAGCTCTGATCCTGAGCTTTGGGAACAAAGATGCAGCTGTGTGCTGGCTGGACCACCCTCATGGTGGTTTACAATCCACTAGCAGATGATGAGAAGTTCTGGAAATTACTCAGTAGCCATTCAATGCTGAGGACATTTCAGCTCTCCCAGGTAAAATTTCTTAAATGCAGACAGCAGGTAGGAGGAATTGGGTCACAGGTGTACCCACTCAGTTGGGCATCTGTGACAGGGGCTGAGGTTCAGACTTTTGTCTAGGAACCAGGCAAGAACTGTGGGTTCCCCCTAAGCCCCTCACATCTCGTGAGAGGAACTCACAATGCCTGGCCTAAAGTCGGGTCGTGAGGCTGACCGTCAAGGAAGGGAGGGGTAGAATTATACCCTGGCCTCCTGTAGCTGACAGGTCAGGTGCCCTCAGACCTGGCCGATGGCATGCATCGGTCAAGTCCAGGCTTCCAACGGAGAAGAGGGTAGCCTAGTCCCAATTCCCTAGACAAGGAACCACTTAGGGCCTAAGAAGGCGGCCTTGGCTCTGCCACCTGCTTGACTACAGCATCCCCTATGAGAACACTGCTTTGAGTCACAGTTGCTCCAACTTCCTGTTAACATGCTGGGGGAGGCAGCCAGCCGATCTGTCACACCCCTACAGTGATCTGCGGAAAAACTGAAAAACTAGTTTTTCTCTGACGTAGCCGTCTGACTTGTCTCAAGGAAATATCACATAACGAGTCGGGTCCTTGATGGGAAGTACATTAAACCCCTGATTCTCGCTCAGATTCTGTCTAACTCAGCTTTCTCGCTCCCTCACACTACGGAGCTGCTACTGCAGGTCAGGCATGAGCTGCACTACCCAGAATGCAGCGGTGCGTAAGGGAGGCCCACTCTCTGTCACTTAGAACACAGCAGGCTTCGGGACAAGAAAGTAATGATTAAGCTTGTTTTGAAGGGCCTTGGCATAGCAAGCTGCTTTTTAAGGGACATTCTAGCCTGGAGATAGGAATAAACATTTTTTTTTTTAAATGCCCTGTCCGGAGTTCGCATGACGCTTGACCATGACACATTTTGAAGCACCGCTAGAGTGACCCTGGGGATCTCCCCGTGCCCCCACCTCCCCAGCCGGTCCTGGGGTCCCGCCACCTGCCAGGACCCCAGCGGGAGGAGGCCGCTCCCGCCCCGCCCAGGTGCCGCCCGGCTCCGCCCCCGCTCTCCATAGTTACGGCGCTGTGGAGGCGGCGGCCATCTTGGCGGCGGAGCGATGAGCGGGTCGAACCCGAAGGCTGCGGCCGCGGGGTCGGCGACGGGGCCCGGGGGGCTGGCGGCTGGCAAGGAGGAGAAGAAGAAGGCGGGCGGCGGCGTCCTCAACAGGCTCAAGGCGCGGCGGCAGGCGCCTCACCACGCGGCCGACGATGGCATCGGGACTGCGGTCACGGAGCAGGAGTTGCTGGCGCTGGACACCATCCGGCCCGAGCACGTCCTGCGTCTCGGCCGGGTCACAGAGAGTGAGTGCCTGCCAGGCGGACCGCGCCTTCCCCCTCGCCCCGGGACCCCCGGGACCCCCGGGACCCCCGGGACCCCCGGGACACTTGCCGCTCGAGCGGCGCGGGCGGCCACCCAGCAGGCCACCCCCCTCGGCAGGCCGGGCCGCGCTCTCCTCCATTCTCCCCCTCACACCCCGCGTTGACCACCCTTGGCGAGACCTGGTGGGAAGGGGTGACCCGGAGTGACCGCAGCTCCCGGGGAGCCGGCCTCGCCGCGGGGCCCACCCCAGCTGGACCTGATGGAGTAGGGGGCCCTGACCGGCCGGCGCCACAGGAACCCCACCCGCCAGCCGTCTGTGAAGTTCCCGCCCAGCTCCCGCAGCCTCTTGCAAGCCAGAACCCACTACCTGCTTTTCGCTGCGTTTCCCTCTTCCCGGTTCCCTTACAAACCCCTCCTCCAGGCCAGCCGGCCCTGGGCCCCTCCGCCCCCTTTTGGTCCCAAGCGTTGCCCCTTTGTGTCCAGGTGGCTTCCTCGTTCCTCAAAACACACTGCTGGCCGCGGCTTGCCCCGTGCACGGAAAAGTGTGCCGCACGTTAAAAAGAAAAAGTAATAAAGTTTTGTGTTGGTCCTGACTCCCAACACGTGAAGCCTGCTTTGAGCATTTCTCCTAGGGAATTAAGAGTTCATATTAAGGCACTCAGAAAGTGCGTTTCTGGCCTAACAGGCTAACTTGCTAAGGCTTTTCGTTGAAAGCAGGAAAGATGGGAAAAAGAAATATTGTTATTTACCTGCCCCCCTCCCCCGCTCCCGGACTTGGGTGTTCTCCCTTTGTCAGGGGTCTGTTAAGCCCGGCACCCCACCGGTGACTGACCTGCTTTTGCTTACTGCTTCCATCCTCCCAGGGGTGTGTTCTGGTTAGGCCTGGCTGGCCCTGACTGGCCCATCACCCTCCCCCTGCAGGCCTGTGACCCCTGCTGTGATGAAGCGGGACTCTGGGATGGATAACTGGGGAGAAATAGGCCTTGGTCCAGTCTGTGCAAAAGTTTTTATCAGCCTCTGGAATGTTTTGATGTCTCCAGTTCAATCACCTTGGGGGTAGAGCTGTCCTTTGAGCACCTGAAAGGATCTGCCACCCCCACCCCCGCTTGGCTGTTGATTCTCCTTGAACGGTTCTGTCCCAGTTTTCTGATGCCGAGGGAGCAGAGCTGCTCAGCCGCCGGCCTCTGACAGCAGGGGAGTGAGGCCGGCCGTCCTGGCGTGTTGAGCACTCAGTCCCTTTGGGGAGGTGGAGCGTTGCTTCTGCAGCTTTGTGCAGTTGGTTTCCTTAACATCTTGTCTGTGTGAGGAGGTGAGTTCTTCGTGTGAACCTGGTGGCACAGCAGTGCCAGCCAGTTACAGAGCACCTGTCTCCCAAGTTTGCCTTTTTCCTAAAAAGACAAGAAAGAGCTTACAAGTCACGTAAGGTATCAGAATGAGTTGCGGAGGAGATGCTGCTGGGAGTCCCGGAAGGAAGTCAGTGGTGTTTTTTATGGCCGGTTGCTGGGATGCTTGGGTTTTAGGTTTTGCTGACTGGGACCTGATGCAGTCACTGACAAGTTTATTCCTGGGTGGGTATGCCCTCTCCACCCCCCGGCTTAAGAATGGCCGTTGCCTTTTTAAATAATTAGGAAAAAGTCTGTAAGTCTGGTTATTGTATAAAATTCATATTTCAGCATCCCCAAGTGCAGTTTTATTGGCCCAGGATCATGCTCCTCTGCTTGTGTGTTATCTGGGGCTGTGCTTTTTTTTTTTTCCTTCTTGTGCTACCATACCATGACAGATCTGAGTGGTGGTGACAAGGTCTGTGTGGCTGCAGTGCCTTAATGCATTAACTGATCTGAGCAGTGGAAGACAAGAGCCTTTGTTGACTGTGTCCCTCCCCGAATGCCTGAGATGATTGGATTAGGGCCAGACCAGAGCCGGGCCTGGGAACTCAACCCAGGTCTCCCACACAGGTGGCAGGAACCCAAATACTTGAGCTGTCACCACTGCCTCCTTGAGTCCCTTCAGCAGGAAGCTGCTGCCTGGAGCTGGAGCCCAGCATCGGATTCAGCCATTCCAGAGGGGGAAGGAGGTGTCCTAACCACTAGGCCAGATGGCTAGCCAGCCTCATTTATTTACTGTCTGGCTCTTTGTAGAGTTTGCTGACCCCTGCCTCATATACAATGTTTGGTAAATACGGTAACAGTAAACCATCTGTTAGAGCACTCTGGAAATGGATTGTTAACTCGTTATTTTTATTGGAAATGCAGGTCAGATTTTTCAGAGAGAAAGATTTTTCATGCACTGGTTCACTTCCCAAATGGCTGCAACAGCCAGAGCTGAGCCAGTTCAAAGCCAGGAGCTCTTCCGGGTCTCTCAAGTAGGTGCAGAGTCCTAGGACTTGGACCATTTCTACTGCTTTCCCAGCCACAAGCAGGGAGCTGGATGGGAAGTGGAGCTGCTAGGATGAGAACCGGTGCCCATATGGGATCCCAGCACGTTCAAGGCGAGGACTTTAGGCACTAGGCCATCACGCTGGGCCCCTGAGATAGATTTCTGATAGTTCTATCCTACTGTGACTTCTCACTGATGGGTGGTGAAAGATCTGTAGATATTTTCAGAGTAATCCCTTCCCTCTCCTGTGTCTGGAAATTTCTTGAGACTGCTCTCATGCACAATCCCTGTTTGTTTTTCCTTTCTTGGATCCCTTAATTCTAGTCACACAAGTTTTGCTTATAATAGAAAAAGCCGTGAGGGGTGTCAGAAGGGAATTATATAGTGAAAGTGCCCATGTTTGCTCCCGACTTGGAGGGTGGGTTTGAGAGGTTATTTACCAGCATTGACCTCTCATTTCCAGATTATTTGTGTAAACCCGAAGACAACATCTACAGTATTGATTTCACTCGCTTCAAGATTCGCGATTTGGAGACGGGGACGGTGCTGTTTGAGATTGCCAAACCTTGTGTTTCAGGTAGGCCTTGGTGTTGGGGTGGCCGCTTGGCAGAGCCAGAAGCGTGTGCTGTTGCAGGTTGGTTGCCCACCTTCCGTGGCGTCCTCCAGTGGCCTGGCCTGGCTCTGGCCTGCCTGCGAGGAGGGTGGGCTGGGAACTGGCTCTCGAGGTGGTTGGTGTTGTGGGTCGGCTCTCTGCTGGTCACTGATGTGTCTGCCTGCATTGTCTTTATGCCTCTGTCTTTATGCCTTTGTCCCGATTTCACAGAGAAGGAATCGAGGCCCACAGTTTCCAAATAGTACTTTCTTGAGGATCTATGCTTTTCACATTTATAAGTTTCTTAAAAAAAAGATTTATTGTATTTATTTGAAAGGAAAGAGAGTGAGGGAAAAGCAGAGAGAGCTTCCATGTGTTGATTTGCTTCTCAGGTGGTCGTAGCTGGGGCTGGGTCAGGCCAAAGTCAGGAGCCTGGAGCTTCTTTCAGGTCTCTCACGTGAATGTGGGAGCCCAGGCACATTAGCAGGGAGCTGAATTGAAAGTGGAGCAGCCAAGACTAAAACTGGTGTCCAAATGCGATGTTAGCGCTGCAGGTGGTGGCTTTGCCTGATATGCAAGGGTGGCAGCCCTGGTCCTATGCTCTTTTATGTTTTTAAGCATGTATTTATTTGAGAGGCAGAGAGCGTGACATACAGATATAGCAGGCTCTTATCTGTCTGTTAGTTCACACTCCAGCTGCTCACAGTGGCTGGGGCTGGGCTAGACTAGAGCCAGTAACATTCTGAATCTCCCGTGTGGGTGGCTGGGATGCCACTAAACCATCACTGCTGCTTCCCAGTTTGCATTAGCAGGAAACTAGAATCAGGAGCAGGAACCAGGCTTTGATTCCAGACATCCCCCTATGTAGCATATTGCTGTTCTGATCAGTGTCTTAACTGCTACGCCAGACTCCCATCCCTGCTTTATCTTGTCACATTACCTCTAGTGAGAAGAGAAACCCTTGTAGTAAACTTCAGTAAGGAAAGCTCACCTGCGCCCTGGGTCCCTGATGGCAGGATTGCAGTCTAGACAGTGAGGCGGGTTCATCTGGTCTGCTGGCCCTCCATTAGATAGTGCTTTGGATCTTCCCTGCATCCTCGTCTGATTGTAATCTCTTTTTATCTAGTTGGGATTTCTTAAATTAGCCTTGACTGTACACATCTGGGCTTGTTCCAGGGCCATTCAGGGCTGACCTGAGCATCTCCTGGCTTTGGACTGCATCACTAGAGATTTAGCGCCCTCTGGAGTGAGTTAGTTGTTAGAACATTTGTGCAAATAATTGATGTGTTATCAACCTGGTCTGTAACAATAGCTTGCATTTTGCAGGGTTTTTTTTTTTTTTTTTTTTTCCTTTAAAGATCTATTTTATTTATTTGAAAGGCAGAGATACAGAGAGACCCACCCGTGTGGGTCTCAGGGACTTGAGCACTTGGGCCATCTTGCATACTTAGGCTCTTAGCAAGGATCTAGGTTGTAAGTGAAATAGCCCAGGACTTGAGCTGGTGCTCATATGGGATAATGGCATTGCAGGTGGCTACTTAACCCCCTGCACCACAACACCACAGCTTCACCTTCACATAGAGTCTCAAGCCCCAACTCTGTGAAAGACTGAAAGCTCAGTGTTTAAGAGCAAACTTGGAACCAGGGCGTCTGGGTTCAGATCCTGCTCCCTTCATCTGCTGGGTGAAGGGCTTTGGACATGTTCTTATCTCCTCTGCTCTGGGCAATGGAGTTAACCCCACCTTGGGGGTTGTGGAGAGGGACTGTGACATACATAGCCCAGGGCCTGGCACCTTGCAGGTGTGCAGTACACTCCGGCCGCCCGTGCTCTGGGGCATGGTACTACACATTGGCTGTAGTCGTGCAGTTTGGACTGGCGGCATGGAAGTGGAGCCCTCAAGATTCTGTGTGCTTTTCCAGACCAAGAGGATGACGAGGAAGCAGAAGGGGGAGACGTGGATAGCAGTGCAGGCCGTTTCGTTCGCTACCAGTTCACACCCGCTTTCCTCCGCCTCCGGACAGTGGGGGCCACGTGAGTACCTCACTTTCCTGAGGGGAGCATTCTGCTTGTGCATGCGGAAGAATGTTCCTGGTGGACTGGGGGCTTGGCTTGGAGGATACAGGAGACAAAGTAGGGCTCACAGAGATCTCTTTTGCAGGGTGGAGTTCACAGTGGGAGACAAACCTGTGTCAAACTTCCGGATGATTGAACGGCACTATTTCCGGGAGCGCTTGCTGAAAAACTTTGACTTTGATTTTGGCTTCTGTATCCCCAGCAGCAGGAACACTTGTGAACATATCTACGAGTTTCCCCAGCTTTCTGAGGACGTCAGTACGTAACCTCTGGCTCTGTACCTTTTTTTCTTTTTCTTTTTTTTTTTTTTAATCTCTTATGTTTGTTTGAAAGAGAGGGAGAGAGAGACAGTCTGAAGATAGACCCTACCTGCTGGTTCACTCCGTAAATGCCCAGAGCAGCCAGGGCCAGGCTAGGCCGAAGCCAGGAGTCTCAAACCTGCATCTGGATCTCCCATGTGGGTGGGAAGGACCCAGCTGTTTGAACTATCACCTGCTGTGTGTGTGAAAAGGAGGCTGGAACCAGGAATGACGGATTCAGGCCTGGAGCCCAGACATTTGAGTATGGGATACAGTTATACCAAACAGCATCTTTTTTTTTTAAGATTTATTTATTTTTATTGGAAATTCATATATATAGAGAAGATCTTCCATCCATTGATTCACTCCCCGTGTGGCTGCAATGGCCCGGAGCTGGCTAATTCAAAACCAGGAGCCTTTTCCGGGTCTCCCATGCCGGTGCAGGGTCCCAAGGCTTTGGGCCGTCCTCCACTGCCCTCCCAGGCCACAAGCAGGGAGCTGGATGGGAAGTGGAGCAGCCAGGATTAGAACCGGCGCCCATATGGTATCCCGGTGCATTCAGGCAAGGACTTTAGCTGTTAGTCCTATGTGAAGGAGCATGGCCATTTTGCTGAGAGAAGGAACAGCCCTTGGTTTTCTGGGCTTTCGGTCCGGCTCTCGCAGGCCTGCGTCCTCAGCTAGTCATGGGGAAATTGCTTCCAGACAGTTCTCTGGATGGAGTGGAATCCTGCGGAGAGTGCTGGCTCCAGCTGCCTTGTCGAAAGGAATCTGTGTGCACTGACTGGTTTCCCAGAGCCCTAGGCTCTTAAAGATCTTCATATTTTGGAACCACGCGTCCTCCACTTGTGTGACAGTAGTGTTCCGGGTCAGGTGGGAGGGCTGCAATATGAGCAGGGTATTTGTGACAGCGGCTGGTTCTGCCCCCATCCTCCCGTAGCCGGGCTGCAGTGTGTGGAGGCTGCACCGAAGGATTAGAGACACTCCCGCTTGCACTCTTGGAGCCGAAAAAAACAGTTCAGAGGTCACCATTCTGGATATGAGCCAAATAACTTTGGCCTGGATTTTTGAAAACCGGCTGCACCACTTGTGCCCCAGCACTGAGCAAGAGTGCGTCAGACTTCCAGGGATGCCAGGTGGCATGGAGTCCCTGCTCAGAGCTCAGGAGGGGCAGTGCCCTGGTCTGTGTCACTCCTGGGTTTGGTTGAGAGGTTGGGTAGCTGTTTGAGGCAACAGGAGATTGCAGTTCAGATGCCGAGATGAGCGGACTTACCACTGCTAAATCGTTTGCGAGTCCTGAGCTGTCCCTGGAGAAGGCTCTGTGCACTCGGCTCCCCTGCCCACCTTTACACCTAGGATTCCTTGGCTGCTGGGGGTGTGCCCAGGAAGTGGGCACAGGGAAGGCATCGCCTTGTGGATTTGGACAGAAGTTTCAGGAATGTTCAGCTGAGAGCGCTCAGTCAGTAAGCAGCTGTGGTTTGTGTTGGCAGAAGGTCAGCGCACTTCCCTGGGGCTCTGGACCCAGACTGCCACGACCACGAGTTCACTGCCGGCTTGTGTGGAAGAGATGGCCAGCGTCAGTGCTGTGGTCTGCAGCTCGCAAGGGCCGGCTCCCTTGGCCCACCCTCGGCCCACCCTCGTCGTCCTGGCCGGGAGTGCTCATGTGTTCCAGAAGCACAGCGTGGGAACTCTGGGGGCGTGCTGAGGTTCTCCCCTCCAATCCAGGCCTCACTCTGCTGCTTTTCTTCCCCTTGCAGTTCGTCTGATGATTGAAAACCCATATGAGACCCGCTCTGACAGCTTCTACTTTGTTGACAACAAGCTGATCATGCACAACAAGGCCGACTATGCCTATAATGGAGGCCAGTAGCTGCTGCAGGAGTGCACAGGAGGCGCGCGGCCATGGCCAGGGAATCCTACTTCAAGGGGCGGAAGCTGCAGCTTGACCCACACGTCTGGAAGCTGGACAGCCAGAGCCAAACTGGCATCTGGGGAGGTGCCAAGCAGGGCCATGTTTTCTTCCCCAGTACTTTTTCTTCCTTCCCTGCCCTGCTGCACCCTGCCCTGCCCCACCCTGCCCTGCCCCTTAGGTCACAGAGGTACTAGAGTCCGGTAAAAAGTTAGGGTGAGGTGCCTGGAATTCAGATTTAAAGAGAGAGTTTATTTTCACATAGTGCTAGCTGTTGGATGTTCTAACCAGTCTTGGTCTCTATGCGTCGCTGGGCCAGGGCGAGAAGGCCCTGTCACCAGCAGGCCCGCAGCCCTCCTCAAGGTGCCTGGGTGCTGTTGGGGGCAGGAAGTGGACCTCTCACTCCCAGTGTTGCCATCTGCACAGCTGCCCTTAGCCGGTGCCCCCACTCCAACTGCTTGAATCAGAAGGGGGTGGGAGGAGGGCTCCATAGGCAGCCAGCTTCTCTCTGGGCCTTCAGCGACCCCTGAGTGGGATCCTCATGGAGGACAGACGAGCGCCCTTTGCTGCTCCTGGCTGCCCGCTTCAGAATTGCTGAGACGGACGTGCCTGCTCTGCTCATGGAACAGGCGGCCCTCTTGGGGTCGAAGTAGGCTCGCTGTGTCTTGGTTTTCTGTTTCTAGACTTCTTGTGGGCAAATTTGATGCAGCGTCAGTGGTGTCCCTGGTGCGGTGTGTGGTTAGGTGCTGACAGGGCCCCGGGGCCGCTGGCCTGGAGCATGTTGGAGGTACAGTGAATACACATCAATAGAGTACATTGTGACGAGGTGTGATGGTCAGCCTAGCAGCACCTGAGGGGTTGGCCGTGGATTTCTTGTTACTAAGAGTGTTTCTGTCTGTTGAAGTAGACTCTGGAGCTATCTGACAGGTCTGACTTAATGAACACGCCTTTTGCTCCTTTGTGTGGTTGTTGGGATTGTTTTGGGTTGTGTGGAAAGGGTGGCTCGGGTCAGAGTGGGGTGTGCTCAGGAAGGCTCCCTTTCACACCCTGCTGTGGCTGCTTGTGTCCCTGGACCCTTAGTAGGCTGGCTGGTCTTAGCACCCCAGCTTGTCTGTGGGGCAGCTACAGGTGTTCAGCCCAGGCTCATGGTTGTTGGAGAAGACTGTTCCTGCTGTTGGGGCCCTTTAACTGTGGATATAAAAGTGTCTGTGGCAAGGGCCCAGGTGGGTGATAGGCCACAGTGCCTGACACAAGAGAGCTGGGTTCCGTGGTACTTGGGAGAAAGGCTAAATGGGACCATGGAATGGAGGAACAGCCTTTGCCTCTTGGGTCCCCTGCTGGACAGTGTAGCTCCCTGTTTGGACACTAGAGCGTGAGTGACCTTGAACCTTAGCCCAGTCCTTTCCATTGGTTAAGAGTCTTGGCAGTGCCGTGTGTAGGCAGCTTTCTCACCAAGGAAGCCCTGCTAGGTAACTGTTGGCACTGGACTCGCTCACCCTGCAGAGTGCCAGTGACTCAGAACTGGAATTGACTACAAATCCGGTGCCTTAGTGTGGCTCTGTCCCATTGACTGCTGGGGAAAGCTGCACAGCCATCCCCCTCCCCCCCTCTGCTTCTCCTCGCTGCTCCTCCCTTGGATGTGCACGTTCCTGTCGTGCTTCAGGATGACCCCTTTTCTGTGACAGAAGCTCAGTCGGGAGTTTCTGCTCTGGTGTTTCAGTACTCTAGGGAGTGGCTTTTGGCATGCTGAGAGCACAGCTCCATCACAGTGTTGGAAATGGCCCAAGCGGGCTGCACCTTGCATACTGGTGGGCTGCCCTGATCTGCATGGCCACTTGGACTAGGATGGAAAAGGGGCCACCGTGGTCGCTGTTGGCCTGCCTCGGTCTCCCTAGCATTGAGTCCATGCCTAGCAGGATGGGGATTTGCCACCACCTGCTCTTGGCGACTGCTGTTGTGTGCAGTAGGGCTGTGGCGTGAAGTGTCTCACGGAAGTGCGGGGCAGGGTTCCCGCTTGGGAGAGTTAACTGGCAGAGTTTGAAATTCAGGCTTGAGGAGAGAAAATGAACTCCTGCCTTGTCTGAAAGTGGCAGAACCTGTCAGAAGCCGAGTCAGAAGGCCAGCATAAGAACGAATCTGGCCTGCTGATAGCAGTTAGCTTGTGGGTAATAAGGGAATGAGAGCCAAGATAGTCCATGCCCACTGCTGGAGCTGGCATCTCATGGGCAGCTCCTGGAAGATCACATTCCAGCAGGGTGGCAGGCCCCCTGGTGCCTCAGGGCCTGCTGCCTGCACCCCATCCTCTCCAGTCTTGCTACTGTCTCTCTGCCTTGGGGTCCCAGAGAGGACCTCTCTTTACTTGAGCAGCCTTGGCCTAAGGTGCCGTTCTAGCTTCTCCAAAGATGACCCTTGCTTATTTCGTCCTCTCTTCTAGCAGATATAGGACATTTCAACTGAATGTCACTGTCATTTCCATAGTATTCACTCCTGGTAGTCTCACAGAGACAGCATTTTCAAGGCCAGTTATTCCTGTAGATGCCCCAGTCCTGAGGCCACTTGGCTTTAGTATGTGGGGATGGTGACTGGGGCCTTTTGGACGCTGTTGACTGCCAATTGGTGAACTGACAGGCCTGGGCAATCTGCAACTTATTTTTCAGTTGAGGTAGGACTCATTTCTGCAGTGGAGGTGGTGGGCGGTGTCTCAGTCTGGCCTCAATGAGTCCTGCTTGTGGCTGCTACGCTCCCAGTGCTTGTTTCTCGCTTTAAAGTCAGTTTCTTCTGATGGGTAGCGAGGTCTCATCCTGGGGATCCCTGCCACAAAGAGCTGTACCTGGCATAGTAGCCCAGTTGCCAAACCTATATGTTACATTCCTCGTCCCCCCATGTCTCAGCCACAGGGAGGATCTGGTTGGGGTGCTCATCCCTAGTTCCACAAAGAATCATGTAACCTCATTGAAATCGTGCAAGTCTTTGTTTTTTCCCTACAAATCAGTTTTTCACAGAATCAAAGAAACCTCAATGACCTGCTTTGTCCTTTCTGCTCTCGCCTGCCTCACCCAAGGTCCTCCCAGTCTGTACTGTCTGTGTCCGCAGTGACCTGGTGACTTATTTGTATGAAATATTATTTTGCCACAAGAGACACTAATAAAAGAGATTTTCACAGTCAGTCTCAGCCTGTTTCCCAGCGGGGGGCCCCCGTGTGGCTGGAGGAGCGGGCTGTCAGCTGGGCTCTCACCTGAGGGCTGCTTTTAGGATTTCCGGCTTCAAGGATGATTTGGCCAACAGTGTTGTGCCTTAGGGTTAATGTTTGTTTCTATTTTGTCAGGTGACTTTGGGAATTAAAGTTTACATAGATGTTTTAAGTAAGACTTATCAAGGTATCCTTTATTGTGTAAGTTGTGCCATCTGAGAGCACAGTTTGATATTCTTTGACAAATATGTAGATGTGTTGGCTTCATGTCAAAGTACCTCAGAGTTCATGGAAATGGAATGGAAAAATAAGTTTATTTTGGTACAAAAATTTTGGGGTATATGGAATAGTTTTTTCTTGATAAGCATTTTCATGAAAAAAAAATTTTCAAGCTTTATTTTTATTGGAAAGGCAGATTTATAGAGAGGAGGAAAGACAGATAAAGATCTTCCATTTGCTGGTTCACTCCCCAAGGGGCCACAATGGTTAGAGCTGAGCCAGTGAGAAGCCAGGAGCTTCTTCTACGCAGATGCAGGGTCCCAAGGCTTTCTGGGTCACTCTCCACTGCTTTCCCAGGCCACAAGCAGGGAGCTGGATGGGAAGTGGCGCTGGTGGAACATGTATTGGTGCCCATATGGGACAATGGTACTTGGGGGTGGAGGGTTAACCATTTGAGACAAAGCACAGCCTCTTTCATGAACTTTTGATGGCCCCTTATATTCATGAATTAAAAAAAATTTTTTTTGCACCAAAACAGACCTCTTACTTTATCATTGATTTGAAAATCAGGGTGGGGGGGATTCCCTAGTGCCTATATAACTGTATCACATAATACAATGTTAATAACAATTAAAAAAAAACAAGTAAAAAAAAAACAAAAAGAAAAGCAGGGTGGAGAGAACAGAGAGCGATATTCCTTGTACTGCTTCCTTCCCCAGGTGGGCACAGCATCTGTGTCTGGACAAGGTGGGAGCCAGGAGCTGCGGGTTCCAGCAGCTCTCCTGTGTCGGTGCTGGACCTCAGCTGTTGGGTCATCACTGCTGTCTCAGGCTGAACTTGAAGCTGTGGTTGGGAGTGGAGCATCTGCCGATTCACTCCTCCAATGACCTCAGTGGCGTTGGCTGGACCAGGCTCCATCCTCTCTCCTGTAGAGGTGGCCCAACCACCTGAGCCTGCTGCCTTCCCAGACAGCATTAGCAGGGAGCTCGGCTGGAAGCAGCTAGCCAGGCCTGGAACTGGCTCTTCTGTATGGGGTGCCCAGCATGACAGGTGGCTGCTAGGGTAATGAGGCCACACACTACCAACCCCTATGAATTTTTTTTTAAAAAAAGATTTATTGTTTTGAAAAGCAGAAGTAGAGGAAAGAGAGAGAGAGAAAAATAACCCAAATAAAACACCATCCACTGGTTTACTCCCCAGATGGCTGCGATGGCCAGGACTGCCAGGCTGAAGCCAGGAGCCAGGAACTTCTTCCAAGTCTCCCCTGTGGGTGCAGGGGCCCAAGTACTTGTGCTGTCCTCGTCCTCTGCTTTCCCAGGCACATTAGCAGGGATTTAGAAGTGGAGCAGCCGGAATTGAATCAATGTCCATATGGACTGGTGCTACGCACTATGCCACAGCACCGTTCTCCCCCTTTCCCCCTCAACAATGAACTTTTTTTTAGAGAAATTTTTATTGGAAAGACATATACAGAGAGGAGAGACAGGAAGATCTGTCCAATGATTCACTCCCCAAGTTGCTGCAGTGGCTGGAACTGTACCAGTCTGAAGCCAGGAGCCTTCCAGGTCTCCCAGGCCGGTGCAAGGTTCCAAGGCTGTGGGCCGTCCTTGACTGCTTCCCCAGGCCACAAGCAGGGAGCTGGATGGGGAGTGGAGCTGCCAGGATTAGAACCAGCGCTCATATGGGATCTCTGTGGTTGCAGGACTTGAGCCCCTAGGCTACTGTACTGGGTCTGAATATATAAATATTAAAAATAAACAATAGGATGCTGGACACAATTGAATAGCAGATTAATGGATTTATGACTGCTTATGAAGGACTGACTATATTGTAAGAATATGGGGGAAATCAATTGGGGGTGGAAGTTAGGGGAGGGGGTAAGAAAAATCCCAGAGCCTATGGAATTGTATCATAAAATTAAAAATAAAATAGAGGGGAAGAGATGTGCAACAAACCAAGGATTTTACCACCATCTTTATTCTCTATGAAATGAGACAAACTCTTGGAGAGAAGGCACCTGAAGGGGACCTGATGCTCAGGCTGCAGGCCCGGGAGCAGGTGTCCTGGCAAAGATGGCAGCTCCGGGCAGTACACTCTTCAACAGGGGCTCCGCTGGGAGTGAGACAAGACCACTGTGTGACCCATGGGTGTAGCCCCCTGGGGACCCCAGTCCACAGGTCTAAGCCCCAAACTCCAAAGGGAGACGAGGCCCCTGCCCTTCCAAGATGACTGGAGCGGGAGGCGGTAAACAGTCCGCAAAGGGAGGTGTCGCAGGTGCACAGAAGGGTGGCTGAGCCTGAGCCTGAGGGATGAACTGCCGGGGTGTGGTTGGAGCAGTTAGGGCGTGGGGGGGTGTGGGACTGGGGAGGCAGGCGGGAAGGTCCCAGGAGCTCTGCTGAGGTGCAGTCGGATTTTCGGGTAGATTGCATTCTAATCCATGCTTCACAAAATCCTCGAAGAGGTTCTTTCCCGCGCTTTACCCAGGCTCACCGACGCCCGGGCGCCCCGGGCAGCCTCTCCGCAGGCGGGACCCCCGGGCAGTGTCCGCCCTCGGCCCCGCCCCGGCCACTCTGGGGGCGTGGCCATCCCGGCGGAGGCCCCGCCCCCGCGGTCCGGAACCGCGCGCGCTCGCTGGCAGCCGGAGGCCGCCGGGAGAGGCCAAGGCGCCGTGTCCACCGTCCAATGGCCGCCGCGTTGCTCACCCGGGCCTGGGGCCCGCTGCGCGGAGGTGAGTGCGCGCCGGCTCCGCACGTCCGGCAGGAGGAGGAGGCCCGGGCTACCGGTTTTGCTGGTCGGAGGCGGCCGGGCGGAAGGAGCGAGCGGGCCCCGGGCGGGAGGCGCCCCCTCGGGCACCGAGCGCGGCCTTTGCCCCCCGGGTCCGCGGCTCCCGGCCACCCCGACGCCCACCCGGCGCTCTCCCTCCCCTGCCCGGTACTCACGGCTGCCTCCACTGCCTTCACTCCCACTTGAGCCGCAGCACAGGAACCAGGCCTGGGATTAAACTCAGACTTGGCCTGTTGACCTTGGCGCGGCCCACCCAGCCCCAGGGGGTTGGGGATTGGTGACAAGATTGGAAGGATTTTCAGGGAACAGGTGCTCCACTGTTAGTATTTATTATGGGATTCGTCCAGCTAGATCTGCTTGCCCTGATTAATCCCACACCACACACCACAGTTCCAGCTCTGCTGCTGGGTTCCTAAGAGGTGCCCCAGAAGGCAGCAGACGTAACTCCCAGGCCTGGGTCCCTGCCTCCTATAGGGGTTCCAGCTCCTGGCACTGAAGGTAGCCCTCAACAAGTGTGGGCATTCAGAATTTTGTTTTTTTTTAAGATTTTTTCTCTATTTTTTTATGATACAGTTCCTTAGGCTCAGGGATTTTCCCTTTCGCCCGCAACCCCCCCCACCCCCCACACCCTCCCCCCACCCCCCTCACCCTCCCCCACCCCCCCACACACCCCTCCCTCCCGCCAAGATTTTTTTTTTGTTTGAAGAGCAGAGTTACAGAGGGAGGGAGAGAGATCTTCCGTCTGTGCTGGTTCACTCCTTAAATGACAGCAGCTGCTGGGGCAGTGCCAGGCCAAGGCCACAAGCCTGGAACTCTCTCTGGGTCTGCCCGCTGTGGGTGGCAGGGACCCAAGCGCGTGGGCCACCCCCCTACTGCTCTCTCAGGTTGGTCAGGAGGTCACTGGGTCTGAAGTGGAGTCTCTGGGTCTGGAGTTTCTGCACTTGAAACTTGAGCATTACACCAACCACTAGGACCTGCTACTGTTACTTTTTTTTTTTTTAAGATTTTATTTTTATTGAAACGTCAGATATACAGAGAGGAGGAGAGACAGAGAAGAAGATCTTCCGTCTGATGATTCTCTCCCCACGTGACCGCAATGGCCGGCTTCTTCCTGGTCTCCCATGCGGGTGCAGGGTCCCAAGGCTTTGGGCCATCTCTACTGCTTTCCCAGAGTACAAGCAGGGAGCTGGATGGGAAGTGGAGCTGCCGGGATTAGAACCGAAGCCCATATGGGATCCCGGCATGTGCGAGGCGAGGACTTTAGCCGCTAGGCTACCGCACCAGGCCTTGTGTTTATTTTTCGAGCTGTCTTTGCCATCTCCTTCTGACTCTGTCTGTCCCTAATGGCAGCTCTGTGTGCCCGGGACTGGCGGCTGCTGCACACGGTCTACCAATCAGTGGAGCTGCCTGAAACACACCAGATGTTGCGTCAGACATGCCGGGACTTCGCTGAGAAGGAGCTGGTTCCTGTCGCGCCCCGGCTGGACAAGGAGCACCTCTTCCCAGCAGCTCAGGTGAGTGTGCCCGTACGTGAGATTTCTGGAACAACGGAAGTGTGCAGCAGGCCGTCGGGATGCCTGCTGTGTGCCAGGCTGATGCTCATGATTGCACCTGCTAGTGTTTTTGTTCTTTACATTTGTTTATTTGAAAGGCAGAGTTAAAGAGGGGTCTTCCTTCATCCCCTGAAATGGCCTCAACAGCTGGAAACCAGGAGCTTCTTCCAGGTCTCCCATGTGGGGACAGGGGCCCAAGGCTTGGACCATCCTCTGCTGCTTTCCCAGACACATTAACAGGGAACTGGATTGTAAGCAGAGCGGCCAGGGCTTGAACTGGCACCCATGTGGCATGCTACCTGGGATGCCACAGTAGCAGCTCTGCTAGGTGCTGTTCTGTGCATTTGAGATGAAGCGATGTTACCAAACACGTTCCCAGTGCGGAATTGATGAAACGTGGGATGAATAGGCAGAACCAGGTTTGGAACGCAATGCTGCTTTCTCAATGAAAGGTTTTGTTTTGTTTTCGTAGTGTTTACTTTTATCTGGTTGAAAGACAGAGTAACAGAGCAAACAAGCTTCCACCTGCTGGTCCACTTCCCCAAATCCTATAACATTCAGGACTAGACCACGCGGAGTCTACAACTTCCTTGGGGTTTCCCACAAGAGAAGCAGGGGATAAAGGACTTGAGCCAGTTTCTTCCAGGAGGTTGAGTAGAAGTGGAGTAGCCAGGTAACTGGCATGATGGCTCAGTGGCACATTCTGGGATCCCATATGGGCGCCAGTTCATATCCCAGTTGCCCCACTTCGCATCCAGCTCCCTGCTGTGGCCTAGGAAAGCAGTTGAGGACAGCCCAAAGCCTTGGAACCCTTTATTTGCATAGGAGACCCGGAAGAAGCTCATGGCTCCTGGGCATGAATCGGCTAGGCTCCAGCTGTTGAGGTCACTTGGGGAGTGAACCAGCAGATGGTAGATCTTTCTCTCTGTATCTCCTTCTGTTTGTAAATCTGCCTTTTCAATAAAAATAATTAAAAAAAAAAAAAAAGGTAGCAGAATGGTTGGTGCTGTGGTGTAGTGCATAAACCCACTGTCTGTAGTGCTGGTATCCCCTATGGACACCAGTTCAAGTCCTGGCTGCTTGACTTCCTATCCAGCTCTACCAATGCCCTGGGAAAGCAGTGGAGGATGGCTCATGTTCTTGGGTCCCTGTGCCCATGTGAGAGAACTGGAAGAAGCTCCTGGCTTCAAAACAATTTAGCTCTGGCTGTTGCAGGCCTCTGGAAAGTAAAACAGCAAATGAAAGACCTCTCTCTAACTTTGACCTTCAAATAAACACATCATCAAGAAGTGGAATAACCAGAACTCAAGTGGACAGGTTTGATTGAGATGGGATATGGATATTCTGGGAGGCATCGGAACCTGCTACCCCACAGTGCCGCCATTCTGGGTCAGCTCAACCCTGACATCCCTCCTGGGCCTGTGTGGCCTCTCATTTGCATTCACACGACAAGACTTTGCTGCTGTGCCTCTTGACCTGGTGAGGTGCCTGGCATGTAATACTGTCATGCAGCAGTTAATTGTTTGATCACTGACTTGTGAAAGGACATTTTTTTGGCCTCTTGTCTGTTTTTCAGTCCAGTAGCATCCTTATTTTCATGTCTTAGAGCTGCTCTTCCAGCCCAGTAGATACTGTGCTGGGTGTTGAGCATTGCACCTGCCCCACACAGATGCCCAAGTTGTTCAAAGATGAGCAAGCAAGAAGCATTTAGGGCCTTGGACTCAGCTGGGGAAACTTTGAGGTGTTGCGTGTTGATTGCCTCATTTAGGCTTGAAAACATCCTTATCTAATGTTAGCTCCTCAAAGGTTAAGCAAACTATAAGGATTAAGGGAGACACTTTTTCATCAATTCCTGTCACTTTGGCATTTGAACTGTGCCAGCTAGTCATGCTGCCACTCCAGTTGAGAACATGGACGCCCAGCCTTGTGACGTGACTTGCCCATGGCTGATGGTGTGCGGAAGAGAATCTGTAGCCCAAGTCAGGTGGGCTCCGAGACCCTGCAGCAGCCACCACCCCCTGGTTATCTCATGGGCCCAGCCTCCAGCTGAGGAGCCCCAAGCCCAGCTGGAAATAAGGTTGTGAAGTTTGGCCTGCCCCCTGCCCTCAGTACTCTCTGCATTTGTCACTCCCGATAACCTCACTAGGCACTGTCCATGCTCCCAGGGGCATTGGTGGAGCTTTGTGGGGTGGTGGGGAGGGAGTAAGCGGAGAGGCCTCTGAAGAGCTAGCTGAAGCAGTGGTGGGTGCTCTCTCCATGATCCCAGCCCTTCCTACTGTGCGCCTGGCTGCCCAGCTCATTTCCTTGTGTGGCCTTCCTGCAAATCATGGTGAAAACCGCACAGCCAGGGACTTACACTACACTAGGAAGCTGGCAGGAGAAACCAGATCCTTCAGATCCTTTGCTGGCCTTGTGTATGCCTGGTGCTTTGGCTCCGCACGCTCCTGCGTACTTTGGGGGGCTGGGTTGGTGCAAGCCACCCCTGAGGAACGGTGGCAGAAGTAGGTGCTGAAGAAGCAGCTGGAGGCTGCAATTTCCTCCGTCATGGCCCCGAGGCCTGCTCCACAGGGTTTCCTGAGAGCTGAGGCCAGCTTCATTTCGGGTCACCTGTGTCCTCTTGCTGGGCTCGAGGTGAGGGCTGGCTGGCCCGAGTTTGGGGAGGAGCAGTGAAGTGTTTGGGTGTTAGCACCGCGTGCTGTTGCGCGCACTGCCCTCACCTGCCACTGGCTGCTGGGCTCACTGGCTTCCTCCCGCGCTTCAGCCAAGCTTGAGTCCTGGTGTGCCTTTGCTTGTATCTGTCCCTGTCCCTGGGTATGGCACTAAGCTCTCACTTCCAGAAGGGAATCTGGGATCCAAGATGGGATGCCCTCATGCCACACTTGAGTGCCTGGGTTCAAGTCCTGCCTCTGTTCCCCCGTCCACTACCTGCTGATGTCCACCTGGGAGGCAGCAGGTGTTGGCTTAGTGCTTCAGTGCCTGTCACACCCATGTGGAAGGGCTCCTGGCTTTGGCCTGGCCTGGCCCTGGCTGTTGTGGGCATTTGGGGAGTGAGCCAGAAGATGGGAGCTCTGTCTTGTGTGTCCTTGCTTCTTTCTGCCTTTCAAATCAATAAAACTCGAATGAAGAAAAAGAAGAAATCAGACACACTGAGGTAGTATGACATGCTTGCAAAATTCCAAGTTTGTTTCAGAATCACAATGATAACAACATCAATAGCTAGCATCTACGAGTTTGCTGAATTCTAGGTACTGATGTCAGGCACTTCCAAAAGCTCACAGTGAATAGAATTCAAAGCCAAATTTATTTTGGTGCAAAAAAAAACCCACTTTTTTTTTTTTTTAATCCTTGCCTGTAGGGCATGTTCCAAAAGTTCATGGAAAATGCATATTTTTTAAAAGATTTATTTATTTCTATTGCAAAGTTGTACATACATAGAAGAGGAGAGGCAGAGGAAGATCTTCCCTCCGATGATTCACTCCCCAAGTGAGCGGAACGGCCAGAGCTGTGCCGATCCGAAGCCAGGAGCTTCTTCCGCAACGTCTTCCCACATGGGCACAGGGTCCCAAAGCCTTGGGCCATCCTCGGCTGCCCTCCCAGGCCACAGGCAGGGAGCTGGATGGGAAGTGGAGTTCCCGGGCTTAGAACTGGCACCCATATAGGATCCCGGTGTATGCGAGGCGAGGACTTTAGCCACTGAGCCGCTTCACCGTGCCTGAAAATGTGTATTTTGAGAACAGCTATGCATGGATTTCAGAAGTTTTACCACCAAGTAGGTGTCCTTTAATTCTGCCTTGTACAAAGTTTGTGAAGTCCCCTGGTGCACGTGCTGAAGTTACTGTATCTGCAGAAGGACACGGGGTGGCAGGTCGTCTTTCTTCTGTGTTCAGGTGAGGGAACTGAAACCGGAGGGGTAGTTTCTTGCTCGCCAGCCACAGTTGGTAGTTGGAGGATCCAGGCAGAGACTTCTGGTCTGTGGCCTACAGTAGGTGCTCAGTGGTTTCTGAGGTGTTTTTTTGTTTGTTTTGTTTTTTCCTGAATAATCTCTTACCTGCCTCTCCTTCCTACCCCCTGGCAGAGCAAAGTGGACCTATGGAAGGAGGGTGGGTCGGGGGGAGTGGGGGGAAGAACTGAGCTGAGGGTGGGCCCAGGATTGGGTCAAAGGCTTGCTTGAGTGGTTTTATAACCTTAATTACACTTTAGTCTTTTTATGTCTGAGCTAGCCAGTGAAAGAAGCAGTCATGGATTTACAGTGTAATTTTGTTGTAAAGAGAATGAGGAAACGTTAAGTTGTCTCCACTGGTATCCGTGAGATTGTGGGCCCCTCAGCTTTGACCTGTGTGTGTGTGTAAGTCCTGAGGCTGCTTCAGAACGTCTGTGGATGGTGCATATTAAGAAAAACAAAATGTGTGGACTTCACAAGTAAAGTGACCTATTAATTCCATTTCCCATGAGTCTTTTCGAGGTACTCTCATGTATAAACCGAACCCAGTTCGTCAGTGAATATTGAATCGCTTTCAGGAGCTGGGTACAGAACCCATCTTTCCTCTTGGGTCCTTACCAAGAAAATGGAGTCACCTCTGGCCATACAGAAACCTCTGGCTGCTACCATCCCCTGGTTTGTCTTTGCCCCACTGGTCCTGGTTCGTTCCACCCTGGGTGTGTCTGCTGAAGGACGCCTCTCATGTCTCCGTGCTTTGGCTCATGTTTTGGGTTCCAGAAGCATTGCATGTGTGCTCCATGGTTCTCTAACTGCTTTCCACGTTAGCACATGTGCAACCGGCAGTATAGTGGACCTGGAATTGCATGCTTGCATCTTCCTGCCACCTTGCACTCAGCAGGTGCTCTCCTGTTCACGGACATTTGTAGAGTTTTGTTCACTGAACGGAGTTGTCTGTCTGAGGGGCAGATACCCAGACCCGTGTCTCTCGTTCCAACGTATCACTCACAAACACATGTGTACCTAGGCCACCTGCAAGGCCTCTCTGGAATAAGAAACGAATCTTGATCTTCATTGGCCACGTCCAAAGCCAGGAGTCAGGAGCTTCTTCCAGGCCTCTTGTGTAGGTGCAGGGGGCCAAGGACTCGGGCCAGCCTCCCTGCTTTCCCAGGTGCATAAACAGGGGACTGGCTTGGAAGTGGAGCGCCTGGAACTCAGGTTCCCGAATGGGATGCCAGTGGCAGCTTTACCGGCTAAGCTGCCATATCGCCCTCCCTCGTCCCCCAGCTGTTTTTCTTTTTTTTTTATTTATTGGAAAGGTGGATATACAGAGAGGAGAGACAGAGAGGAAGATCTTCCGTCCGATGATTCACTCCCCAAGTGAGCGCAACGGCCGATAGTATGCCGATCCGAAGCCAGGAGACTCTTCCGGGTCTCCCACACAGGTGCAGGGTCCCAAAGCTTTGGGCCATCCTCGACTGCCTTCCCGGGCCACAGGCAGGGAGCTGGAAGGGAAGCGGGGCTGCTGGGATTAGAACCGGCGCCCATATGGGATCCCGGGCATGCAAGGCGAGGACCTTAACCACTGCGCCACCGCGCCGGGCCCCCAGCTGTTTTTCTACACCACTATCTCCCTTTTGTGTTCTTTGTAAACTTTGCTCAAGAGGCAGAGAAACAGACACAGAGGGAGTGAGAGAGCGAGAGAGATTCCCATTTACTATCCCACTCCCTAAATGCCCGCAGTGGCTGAGACTGAGCTAGGGCAAGGCCAGGAGCCAGAAACTCCATCCGGGTCTCCCATGTGCGTGGTGGGAACCCAGTTACCTGAGCCCTCCCTGCTGCCCTCTGGGGTCTGCCTTAGCAGGAAGCTGGAGTCAGGAGCCTGAGTCAGGAATCGAACCTAGGCCCTTGGGTATGGGACACAGGCATTTTAATCAGCTTTTTAGCAGACACCTGCCCCAATCTCCTGCTGTCAAGGCCGTTGTGTCTTTTCCCTCTGCCAGCCTTGATCTGTCCTTCACTGCTGGCGTCCCTTCGCGTCTCTTTCTCAGGATAAACTTCAGTGTGTCCATTGTCACCATCATTGCTTCTGTCTCAATTTTTTTTTTCCTCCTGGGATATTCTGGCAGCTGCTGATCATACCCTGTTGCCTGACATCAGGGGTCACTGATGGAGTGTGCTGTGTCCAGCACCTGGGTGCGGGCTGAGGCGACCTAGGGGGTGGTGTCTGTCCACTGTGAAGCTTGCTGAGTCTCCTGTAGTGACAGGGAGAGGGGGCGGTCCACTTCACTGAGGGACAGAGATGTCATGAATGAGAACCCTGAGGGCGAGAAGGGCTCGGAGAGGGGGCAGGTGTGTGCTGGAGTCCTACTGGCGTGGCAGTTTTGACCTTCAGCCTCAGCCTGGGCGAGGCAGGGTCTGTAGCGCAGGGTGGGGAGCCCTTTCTCGTGCCATGGGCCATTTGGGAATGTATAGCATCATGCCAAGATGAGAGACTCCAGAAGTGGGTTGCCATAAATATGTTGTATTGTGAGTCCTGCTGTCAGCGGCCCTGATGTTCTTGAGGGCCTCGTATGGAGCGTGGAGTACAGGCCAGGCGTTCCCCAACGCTGCTTAAAGGGCGGATAGCAGGAATTCTGCCTGCTTCCTGTGTTCATGGGCCTGGCTTCTCCAGGGGGGTTCCCTGTCCTCGCCTTACCCGGGTGTGAAGACGTCCAGCTGAGCGTTTGAATACACCTGGTCAGTCTGCCCCGCCTGCGACTTCTGGTTCCCGTCCATCGTGGTTGCCAGGTCATGTAGCCAGGAGTTCTGTGGTCAAGAGGCCCCGTGTGGCGCCTTTGGGTGGGACTCCCTGAGCCACTGCCGTTTTGCCAGAGCCTGGTCCATGGCAGTGGCCTTCCTTGATGAGGTGCAGTGTCGGCGCAGGAGCAGGCGCAGTGGATGCACAGGCGCAGTTGCCGCGGGATGTGTCTGTTGCAGCAAAACCCCACGGCACGCTAGCACACGTTGGCTCATGGCTCTGGGGACGCACTGTCTCAGCGTGCATGGCTGCGGCCCTGTGGCTTCCGTGTGACCTCCCTGCAGGCAGCACTCCCAGGTGGCACAAGGCATCACGCAGCAGGAGGTAGGGCATGTGTGAGTAGCTGTACGTCCTCTCCAGCTGTAGATACTTGTTAGGCACCTCCCGCCCACCGGCTGCTTCCCCGTGCCCTGTTGTCTGCCCCCCTTCTGGGGCACAGCGGTTGCTGCAGAGCTTGACTGGCCCTTCTGGGGTGGGCAGCTCCATACCACCGGCTGCACTGGATCACACATGACAGACAGTGCCTAGAGCCTGCAGGTGTTCCCACGGGAACCATCCAGGGCAGGACCCAGCAGCTTGGCAGAGGCACGCACAGCGTTAGAGACGTGGGCAGCCCCCTTCCCTCGGTGGCACCGTCTTCAGCACTGGCATAGAGCTCCCGTCGCCACGAACGCTCACAGCCTTCCCGGGCTATGGTTTACTACTTTGGTGGAAAAAAGATATTTATTTAATATACATGACAGACAGACAAAATCTCCCATCGCCTGATTCACTCCTGAAATGTCCACAGGGGCTGGGGTTCTGCCAGGCTGAAGCCAGGAGCCCAGAGCTCCATCTGGGTGTCCCACGTGGGTACAGGGGCCCAAGAGCTTAGACCATCACCTGCCACCCTGCAGGGTGTGCAAGAGCAGAAGTGAGAGTTGAATCTAGGTATCTGGGGAGTGAACCAATGGGTGGAACATTCTCTCTCTCACTTTCACATACATGAAATTTTTAAAAGTTGGACAAAGACTTAAAATAACTAGGGTAGGGGCCTGGCACGCTAGCCTAGTGGCTGAAATTGTCCTCTTGTATGCACCAGGATCCTGTATGGGTGCCAGTTTGGGTGCCAGTTTGTGTCCCAGCTGTTCCACTTCCCATCCAGCTCCCTGCCCGTGGCCTGGGAAAGCAGTCGAGGATGGCCCAAAGCTTTGGGACCCTGCACCTGTGTGGGAGACCCGGAAGAGGCTCCTGGCTCCTGGCTTTGGATCGCCTCAGCTCCGGCTGTTGTGGCCACTTGGGGAGTGAACCAGTGGATGGAAGATCTTTCTCTCTGTCTTTCCTTCTTATAAATCTGCCTTTCCAATAAAAATAAGTAAATCTTTAAAAAAAAAAAATTCAGGGTGGTGTTTGACACTGTGGTTAGGATGCTGCTGGGGAAGCCGTCGTCCTGGCTCACAGCCACACTGGGAGGCAGCCTCATTGGCTTGGGCATCTGACCTCCTCCACTCGTGTGGGAGACCCAGAGGGGAGTCCTGGGCTCCCGGCTTGCCTGGCGCTGGCTGTGGTGGACATTTTAGGGGAGTGAACTAGTGAACTCGTGTGTGAAGAATCTCTGACTCTGCCTTTCAAAGGAAATGAATGAAAAATAAAATATGGTGGCTGTGCAGTGGTTATGTGTCACGTCATCTCAGGCCAGAGCACTTGGTTCAGTCCCAGCCACCCTGCTTCGGGTCCAGCCTCCTGCAAGTGCCCCTGGGAGGCAGCAGGTGAGGACCTGAGTGTGGGGGAGACCCTGGCTGCTGCCTTCCAGCCTGGCCCAGTCCTAGCTGTTGTGGCCATTTGGGGAGAAAACTAGAGAATCCAGGCATTTGTGCTCTCTCGCTTTCTCTCTCTCTCTCTCCCCTCCCTTCCTCCCTTGTTCACTCTGCCTTCTATTAATAAACGAATCTTTCAAAGAAGTCCCAGCTGCATAGTGAAGTGCCGCACAGGAGCCCACGTGTGTCAGGCAGGACTGGGTCGGCTGGGGCAGCCCTGGGAAAGGCCTCTGGAGGGCTGTGCTCTGGCCAAGGGCCAGGGGTGACAGGCAGTGTGTATGTGCATGTGTGGGGTTTGCCTAGGGGCTGGACGGAGGCTGGTGTGGCATTGTGCTGTCCACCCCTTACCTCCAAGTGCCCTGAAGCTTCCTGTGCCTGCCCCCTGGGTTTGGCTGCAGAGAAGTGAGCGAGCGTGGCAGGCGGGGTGGCCAGCATGAGTGAATGCAGCCCAGCGGCTGTGTCTGGACAGGCAGATCACAGGGTGGCTGCATCTGATCATCTGGCCTGTGGGTGTGCAGGCGCTGGCCTGGGAACAGCAGGGGTGTGAGCTAGGGCTGGGGACGCCCCATCTTCTCGCGGCTTCCCTCACCCCGACACCCTTCCCTGGGCCAGGTGAAGGAGATGGGCAAGCTTGGGCTTCTGGCCATGGATGTGCCTGAGGAGCTGAGCGGCGCTGGCCTCGACTACCTGGCCTACGCCATCGCCATGGAGGAGATCAGCCGCGGCTGCGCCTCCGCGGGAGTCATCATGAGCGTCAACAACGTAAGACTCCCACAGGCAGGCGGGCCCTCTGCCACGTGACCCACCCTCCTCACCCTGGCTGTGTCTCTGCACATGGTCCCCTTGGTTGGGGCCTGCTGGCCAGTGGGTTGGCAGGGCATGACCAGGCCTGAGGGTCTCCAGCTGCTCCCCTCTGTCCTTCCCCAGTCCCTCTACCTGGGGCCCATCCTCAAGTTTGGCTCCCAGGAGCAGAAGCGCCAGTGGATCACGCCCTTCACCGGCGGCGACAAGATTGGCTGCTTTGCCCTCAGTGAACCAGGTGCCTGTCTGGGCTCTCCCTCGGCCTCAGAGCCTGGATGGACTACGGGTGGCTGAGCCAGTGCCCTGTCTTGGCCCACCTGAGCCGCAGCCATGGCCTGGGTTCCCTTGGTCATGGGGTTACCTGTTGCTGCCTGCCGTCTACCAGGCATGAGGGCTGCCCTGGGGCCCCTCCTTGGCAGCCAGTACCCCAACTCTGGGTCTTCCCCCTCAGCAGCTGGGAGGTGAGGCTGGGCTCCCTGGCACAACAGTGGGAGTGCCCTTGCCAGAGCTGGGGCCAGATGGGGTCCTGAGTCTGTGCCTGGGACAGGGAACGGCAGCGACGCTGGAGCTGCGTCTACCACGGCCCGGGAGGAGGGCGACTCGTGGGTCCTCAACGGCACCAAAGCCTGGATCACCAACTCCTGGGAGGCCTCCGCCACGGTGGTCTTTGCCAGCACCGACAGAGCCCTGAAAAACAAGGTGGGGCCCTGAGAGAGGCTGGTGCCCGCTCAGGGTAGCTCTGACATCACTGTCATTGTTGCCTCCCGGCCTGTCGGCTGTGCCTGCCTTCCTGGCTGCCGCTGGCTGCTGCTGCCTGCCTGCAAAGCTTAGCCTGGGTTCCCCAGGGCTGTGGAAGGGCTGGGGGCCTGTGAGGTGCAGCTGGAGGACCACTGTCCCACAGAGAAGCTTCTGAGAAAGTCCCTGGATCTGTCTGGGGCCTTGCAGGGCATCAGCGCCTTCCTGGTTCCCATGCCAACACCGGGGCTCACCCTGGGCAAGAAGGAGGACAAGTTGGGCATCCGGGCATCATCCACAGCCAACCTCATCTTTGAGGACTGTCGCATCCCCAAGGAAAACCTGCTGGGGGAGCCAGGGATGGGCTTCAAGATCGCCATGGTGAGCCTGGCAGTGGGGGTGGTGCCCTGGCCCTGCCCAGACCCCCAACCTGCAGCCACTGACCAGGGCGGTCCCCACAGCAAACCCTGGATATGGGTCGCATTGGCATCGCTGCCCAGGCCTTGGGCATCGCCCAGGCCGCCCTGGATTGCGCTGTGAATTATGCCGAGACTCGCAGGGCGTTCGGGGCGCCCCTCACCAAGCTGCAGGGCATCCAGGTAAGGGTGCCGCCTTTAATCCTCCTCTTCCTCTGACTGGGGGAGGGGCAGAGGCTTATCTCAGGGCGTGGGGCTGGGTTGTTGCAGTTCAAGTTGGCAGACATGGCCCTGGCCCTGGAGAGTGCCCGGTTGCTGACGTGGCGTGCAGCCATGTTGAAGGACAATAAGAAACCTTTCACCAAGGTACCCCTGGGGGAGGGCGGGGCAGGGCTGGTTCCCTGGGCTTCTGGGCAGAGCTAGGGGTGCCCCTCCGGGTGAAGGTGCTGACTTTGTCCTTTCTTGTGTCCAGGAGGCAGCGATGGCCAAGCTGGCTGCCTCCGAGGCAGCCACCGCCATCAGCCACCAGGTGCGTGTCCATGCTGCGTGCCAGATACATGGCTGCCTCTCCCCGCTCCGTGTGGGCAGCCTGCCCCCTGACCTTCTCACTGGTGTCCTCTCTTTGTCTTCTGTTGTCCGTCTCCTTAGGCCATCCAGATCCTGGGCGGCATGGGCTACGTGTCGGAGATGCCAGCTGAGCGGCACTACCGCGACGCCCGCATCACCGAGATCTATGAAGGCACCAGTGAGATCCAGCGGCTGGTGATCGCAGGGAACCTGCTCAAGAGCTACCAGAGCTGAGCCGTGCCTCGCTGCAGCGGGGCCGGGCTGTAGCCACGAGGCCTTAATCATGACCTAGAGCCAGAGACTGCTGGCAGGCCCGGGGGCTGCGTCCTGAATCTCCTGTGTTCCGGCAACAGGCCGTCTACAGCTCCGTCTTGTGGACCCGGCCACCTCTCCAGCCGCCCATCAGCCTAGCCAGCAGCCCCTGACCATGGCTGCCTGGAGGAGGGTGTGGGTTGGGGTGGAACAACAGGACAGTGCTTTCCAGGGTTCCCTGGGGGCCTGCTGCTTGGCAGGAAGACCCAGTGGAGCAGCTCTTTGCCCTAAAGTTGGGGATCAGGAGGAGGGGGTGGGTTGGGGGCCTTTGGCAAAGCAGCAGCAGCTGTTGCTCTGGTCTCTCTGGCCCGCCAGCCTCAGTCTTAGGAGTAGGCGGGGCCAGGCTGGGAGTTTAAGTGTGTGCAGGTGTGAGTGGGGAGGCTAGCTAATAAATTGTACCTGGTCCCGCCCTCTGTGGGTCTTCAGTCCAGTCCTTGCTCTCCGCCAAAGCTACCGCCTGGGGTCCTGGGGGAGGTCAACCAGGCCGCCACGACCTTAGCCCTGTCCTGGAGGCTGTTGGGTGAGTGCTTGGGAAAGTGGCCTGGCCTCTGGAGAACACCTGGGCAGGGAAAGGGCACCCCAGGACTCGGGGAGGGCTGGCGGGCTCCAGTAGGCTGGCTGTTGAGTGTCCTCAGGGGGGCAGTTCTGAGGCTGCCAGTGAGACGGGGACCCACGCTGGTCCTGACCAGTACAGCTTCTCCTAGCTGGTGGCTGGGCGAGGACCACGTGACCCTTGAGGCTTGCATAGGGGGCTTGAGCGTCGTCCCCCCTCACCCTCAACCCAGTCTCTGCTGCTTCGTGGGCCTGAGGGGTCCCTGTGCCAGGCCCTGACTCCCATGGTGTGACTAGAGCCTGGTCCCTGCTGCCTTAGGCTGGACAAGGTGGACGTTGGGGATTCGTACCCAGAGTTGGGGTGTCGCACTGGGCCCCACCTGCTGCTGAAGGGGAGCTCATGTGAGGGGCTTGCGCGGGGGGCGGGGGGAACAGAAACAGTTGGCCCTAGGCTAACTGAGGGGTGGGGACCGCGGGGCTGGGCCGTGAGTGAGGTTGGGGCCGGGGTACACGTGCTGATGGGATTCAGGCCCTGTGCTGCGCACGTGGCGCTGTGCTCACGAGCTCAGGAGGCGCGTGGGGGCGTGGCGGCCAGCAGGTGTTGCCTTCCCGACTTAGCTGACGCAGCTGTGGCTTCGGGAGCTAGTTCCCATGATGCTTTTGAGGTTGGCCGAGGCCAGGGCAGTTGGTGGAAGTTGAGTATCTGTGTCTTCCTCCTGGTTGCAGGTAAGCGCCCCAGGAGGCCCTGGGCTCTGGTTGGCGCCCTGTCAGGGCCTCCTAGGTCCACCCCTTGCCGCCTGGCGGTGATTACACTAGGGGCGCATGGAGGTCTGATCCCAGCAGGTTGCTCGGGAAGCCCTGGAAGAGCAGAGCAGAGGTGTTCATGGGGCGCCATGGATTGCAGCCGTGTTGGGGGCCACTGCTGTAGGAGGCAGGAGGGTGGGAAGGGTGCTGGGGCTGAGGGAAGAGGGGAGGGAGGCCCCAGAAGGCTGGGGGCCCTGAGGGCAGGACAGGCGACCTGAGGGCACGGCCCCTAGCTCTGAACCTGCTGCAGGGAGTGTCTGGCTCTTCAGGGGCCCACACAGGCCAGCTCAGCCATCCTGAGCCCACTGGAGCAAAGGGCTGGGTGTGGTTGGTGAGGCCCTGCAGAGACATGGCTGTCCCAGTTGGACCTCTGTCATGGCCTGGGCCTCTCCCAGGGGGCCAAGGGCCACACTAGCACTCCCCTCCCCCGCTTGTGCTCACACTGTGCTCTGTGAGCCAAGGCCCAGTGTGTGCCCAGCCAGCCTTGGGTGCTTCCAGGAGCTTCCCTCAGCTGTGTGGGTGGGGTCAGCGCCCAGGCCACTCCTGGCAGAGAACCAGCTCCTGGCCCCACTCCTGTTCTCTGTACGCATGAGCTTTGGACAGGTGGGTTGAGGGGTGCTGGCTTCTTGGCACCCTGATTTCATCGCGTTTCCTAAGGAACAAGGACGCCTGCCAGCCCTGGCAAACTGTCCGTCCACTTGCTGCTGCCATTGGGAGCACAGCCAAGTGACTCCAGGGCTGGGGGTGAGGTTACACTGAGGGCTTGTCAACCACCTCCTCCCCTGGTGGGAGTTCCTTGGGCTTTCCTGACCCTGGCCTCTGGCAGGTCCAGGCTGCTGGTTCCGGTTCCGGTTTTGTTATGCTATGTTCCTTGTTGGTTTGTGTAGTGGTCTCTTCTGTGGGCTTCGTCTTTGGTGGTCATGCTGTCCTCTTTTGTTTTAATGTTATTTCGATAAAGATGTATTGGAAAGGCAGAGTAACGAGGGGGAGAACTTGCCTCTGCTGGGTTACTCTCCATGTGACTGCAACAGCCAGGGCTAGGAGCCAGGGAGGCTAGCCACGTGGGCAGCAGGAACCCAGGACCCAGGGCCATTACCTGCCGCAGGGAGCAGGAGCAACACACTGCAAGATGGACACCAGTGACCCATGCAGCAGATTGACATGCTCCTCTACCACGCCTGCCCCTGATGCCCTGCTGTCCTTCCCGAATTGGTTCCTTGCATTCTTTTTTTTAAGATTTATTTATGGGCCCGGCGCGGTGGCGCAAGTGGTTAAGGTTCTCGCCTTGCACACCCGGGATCCCATATGGGCGCCGGTTCTATCCCGGCAGCCCCGCTTCCCTTCCAGCTTCCTGCCTGTGGCCCGGGAAAGCAGTCGAGGACGGCCCAAAGCTTTGGGACCCTGCACCCGCATGGGAGACCTGGAAGAGGCTCCTGTCTTCGGACCGGCATAGCATTGGCCGTTGCGCTCACTTGGGGAGTGAATCATCGGACGGAAGATCTTCCTCTCTGTCTCTCCTCTCTGTATATCTGCCTTTCCAATGAAAAAATAATAAAAATAAATCTTTAAAAAAAAGATTTATTTATATTTTTATTGGAAAGGCAGCTATATAGTAAGGAGGAGTCAGAAAAATCTTACGTCCATTGATTCAATCCCCAAGTGGCAGGCAATGATCGGAACTGAGCTGATTCAAAGCCAGGAGTCTGGAGCCTCTTCCAGGTCTCCCATGTGGGTGCAGGGTCCCAAGGCTTTGGGCCGTCCTCCGTTACCTTCCCAGGCCACAAGCAGGGAGCTGGATGGGAAGCGGAGCCACTGGGATTAGAACCAGCGCCTATATGGGATCCTGGCACGTGCAAGGCAAGGATTTTAGCCGCTAGGCTACTGGTTCCTTGCATTCTTTAATCGCCCAGTCTGGCAGTTACATCAGTGTCTAAAGAATCTGCTTCAGGTTTTGTTGATGTACGGTGTTACGTTTTGACAACCTTGAGAGTTCATGTGGATTTGATTTGTTACTCCGGCTCCCTGGCATGCATTTCTGCTAGTGGCTTCCCAGGCTTTGTCCTAATAAGTGACTTTGAAGTTGTGGTTCTCTCTCCAGCCGTGGCTTTCGCCTCATTTCCATGACTTCCGCTGTGTCCTACTTTGGTTGTTGCATTGTGTGGCTGCGAACGTGGGATTTTGTTAGCTGACTGTTGGGCCTGTTGGTTGAGGAGCCATGAGGAGATATGCCCCTCGGTGATTGCAATGTAAGGTGGACCCCTGCTGGCATCGCAGCATGCCCCTCACCTGGTCTTGCTCCCCGACAAGTGCACTCCATACCACTGTTGTTCGTCCCCTCCACTCCCCCCACATCAGTGTGTGGTCAGTGCATCTTCTGTTAGCGTCTTTGCAATACGCTGAGCTTTGCTTCATGTCCTCACGCTCCTTTCTGTAGAACTGAATGTATCTGAGAGATGTCTTGGTCCACACGTCGATGCAGCTATTGGCACAGCTTTGTACACACGGGTCCCGTTGCATAACTGGGTCCTGCACCTACGTACTTTCCAGCTCTGTGCTGTGGCAGGCCACGGAACAGTGAACATCCTGGAATATGTCGTCGTCTTTTTTTTTTTTTTGTTAATATGCCTTTCCAATAAAAATAAATATTTACAGTGAAGAAAAGATCTTCCATCTGCTGGTTCACTCCCTTAATGGCTGCAACAGCCAGAAATGGCCAATTTGAAACCAGGAGCTGCTTCTGAGTCTCCCACGTGGATACAGGGTCCCAAGGCTTTAATCCACCTTCCCTGTCTTTCCCAGGCCACAAGAGGGAGCTGGATGGGAAGTGGAGCAACTGGGATAGGAACTGGCACTTGTTTGAAATGCTGCTGGTCACAGGCAGAAGATTAGTTTGCTATACCATGCACTGGCCCGATTTTATTTATTTGAAAGGCAAGCCAACAGAGCTCTGTGGTCCACTGGTTCACTCCCCCACAGAGAAACCAGGAGCTGGAACTGAATCCAGATCTCCCACCCAAATGGTGGGGACCCCACGTTGGGCCATCATTGCCACTTTCTGTGGTGTAGCTCAGCAGGCAGCTGGACCCTGAGTGCAGGCGGGACACTGCGTGGGCACGTGGGCACAGCAGTCACTGCTGGGCTCACCGCCTGTCCCAGCTTCCCAGGTGCAGCCAGCTTCTGCCTCTTCCCCGCACTCTGGCCGGGAGACCCCTCTTCTTACGTATCTGAGAGCAGCAAGGGCCTCCCTCTTCTTTTTCACTCTGGTTGTTAATTCAGGCCTTCCCGCCTGCTGGAGGAACCGCACGCCCTCTCCCGGGTGGTTGGCCACCTTGTTCCCCTGGGAGCTGCCATTTGTCTGTCCCGCAGGTAGCTTTTCCTTCTAGATTTTAACTGTCCTGTGTGTCCCACATGCTAACCATTTTTCTCTCTGTAAATCTGCCTGGTTCACTTCCCTAGTGGCTGCAACAGCCCAAACTAGCTGATCTGAAGCTGGGAGCCAGGAGCTTTGTCTGGGCAATGGATGGACTCTAGGACTGTCTTCCTGGAGACTCGGTTGGATTCCTGTTTTGGGTTTGTGCATGCACAGCCAGGGCACTGCAAGCAGCCTGCTCAGTCAGTTGATGCAGGTGGTGTGCAAAGTACGATACTTGACAAGCTGGTGTAGCCAAGCATTCCTACGAGCTGGTGTCTTAAGGCCATTTGGCACAGCTCAGTCCGGTGGATTTTTTTTTTATTATTTATTATATTTTTGATGATAGTTGTTTAGGGTAGTAAGGCTCAGGGGCTACAGGAAGGTGGGTGAGATCACCATTTCCACATTCTCTTTTTTTTTGCTTCCTGTATCTGGGGGAAGGGACAGCCCGATGGATTTTTTTCGTAGCCTGTCCTGCACGGAGTCTTACCTTTAGCTGAGTGTACCAGCGATTTAGGTAAGACTAGAGGAGGAAATTTCAAGACAAAATACTTAGGGGGCCTTGCCAGGAGGAGAGCAGTGGCTTTGTCTGCCAGCTGGTCACGTCGGGCTCAGGTTTCTGATGTGTGCTGCGGTGAATAACTTCC